ATGGGGGGGTGTTTTTTGTGGGGCGGGGGGATGGTGGGTTGGGGAGATGTGGTGGTGCTGAGGTGGACATGTCATGACTGCTTTACTGGATGGTATGCGGCAATGATACTTGATACTTGATATATGATGTTAGTCAGAATCGTCTCTTGGGTGAATACCTGGCACATGACTGCGTATCGCTCTGCTCCAGTTCTTTGGGACTAGCGCACTCATACGCGAGTGTATGTACTGACTAGCGTTGTAGCTGAAGGAATACAAGTTTTCTGCCCAAAACCACATTTGACAACATAAACACTGCCTTGGTTCTGAGCAGAGACACCATCTTTTCTGGAAACACACTACTATACACAACACACGACACGCGGTTACACTTTATTCTTGTGGCCCTCCCTTGCCTAAAAAGATACCTCAACATAGGACTACATCTGCCATCTTAATACAGGTTCCCCCAACTAGTCAGGATGAATTCTGTAGAGAGTCTCAACACTACGTACGTACCTCTTCATACTTCCGCACCAAGATCCAAGGAACATTCTAATAAAGTGGTGAATAGGATCTTCGGATCAGAGCAGGACGCAGATATGACGATCAAGTGTGGTGGTCAAACCTTGAAAGTCCATAAGGTCGTACTGTGCAATTAATCCAAAAACTTCCGCGCCGCCATGGAGGGCGGTTTCAAGGTAGGTATCTAGATCCCCATTTCCGAATCCTATCATCCTCTGACCAGCCACAACTAGGAAGCCCAAGACTCCAGCATCTTGCTCCAAGAAGATGACCCCGAGATCGTCAAATTGATGCTCGAGTACCTCTACACAAAAGAGTATCATGCAGGACCCTCCAAACAATTCCAGACCCATGTCAAGGCGTACGTTCTCGGCGACAAGTACAATATCCTTGAGTTGAAGACGTACGCAGCGGAGAAACACGTGGAACTCATCCCGCAAATTGGAAATGATTCTATAACCAACTTTACGGAAAGCTTTCGGCTCCTCTACGCCTCGACTGTAGAGAGCGACCGCCTCCTCAAGGATATGATTATCACAACTACCGCGAGTAACTTGAAGGCATTTGCTTTGCATATATGCAACACTTGTTTCTGATGGAGTGAAAGAGCTGTTTCGCTCGGGATCTAATCAGGTAGTGTACACCTCGCGGAGTTTGGAATCGGTGAAGCAGAAGGAGGAGCCGCAAGCAAAGTCAAGTTGTTATATGCAACGCTCCCCAGGTGACTTGCTTATAATTCGACGAGCACTTTTCGTTGACCTCTCATCACTTATGGGTATAAGATGCTTCCCTAGCGGGCATGGAGGACTCTGATAGCTCGGAGATGAGGTTAGTGTAACTCGAGGGCAAATTCTTTGCTGGGATCGAGCTTGTGTTGTCTGCTTTTTTCTCTTGGGAATGCTATTAATGATGGGGGATGCTCATTTATGCATGTATCTGAGGGTAGGATAGGAATATTATTCTTTACGGTAATTGATTGAGATATCCCTTGATAGATTGCCTGTGGAAGTGGTGACGGACACGAGGATTGCTAAACTTTCCTAGAACCAGATATTGTCCGTTATAAAGGTGACCGTCTAACCTAACAAACATACAGTTCTTTTATTTACTTATTTTTTTGCGTTTACGCGTTTACTTATTTATCTACCTACCTAGGCAGAGGGAGTGGGGCAAGGGAGAGAGAGTGGGAGAGGGGCTATAGGGATAGAGGAGGATGAACATATTTAAAAGACTAGGTACTTACGAGCAGTTTATAGAGGTAAAGGGAAAGGAAGGCTCTATAGTATAGACGAATAGCTCACGGAACACTTGGGTAGCTTAAACTCTCTTATAAAAGTTGGTTATCTAAGTAATAGGAGCCGATAATACGCTTAGTAAGGAGGAGGTTAAAGTATAATAATTATATCCCTATAATCCCGACTCTTTTAGATTTAATTCGTCTATTATCCAGTATAGAGTAATAATTTTCGTCCCCAAAATCCTAGAAGAATTATGATACTCGAGATACCTCTTAATTAAATCGAGTTAGTCTAAAATACACTGTATTTTAAATTATTAAAACTACGGCTATTTTGGTTCATTGCCGTTTACTTACCGATACTTATTATTACCTTTTTATTCTGCATAGTAACTCCCCATTTGTATACGTACTTCTATTAGGTGAGATCAGAGCATTTGTTGAGTTATTAATAAGATTAATTACTTGAAACCAGAAACCTTAGGCTAAAAGCAACTGTTTGTAAGGGAAATCGAAAGGAAAATACTAGGTAGTAGTAGTTGCCACGTAGACTTGCATTTTCTCCTCGACACCTACTCGACTGCAAATGATGCAATTGCTGGATTTTGGTGTGTGTGGCATTTGTCGAAATAACCAATTAGCTCATCACCTGTACGCCTCTACAAGCAGCCGAAAGCAAGTCACTGGTCAGTTTACGCCCAAGTAGATTAACACCGCATATTGTGTAACCACAATCACAGCCTCAATTATCAAGAAGAAAATTTCACAAGAACAAGGCTCGCTGCTCCAAAACCTTCGAATCCTTATTTTCATCAGCAAAATCTCACATTTTGACCGCAACCCCACAAATCATACTTGAACATCCCTCATCACAAACATAGCAACATGTCAACCTATAAATATTCCACACTCTTCCCAAACTATATCAGAGCACTAGTCATACACCCAGGCTCCAAGAATTCTCCAATCTCCTGCACAATCCGTAATATCACTATTCAATCTAAAGAAAGACACAAGGCAATATCTTACGTTTGGGGCACTCCAAATTTCACTCAGCACATCACCCTCGAGTCTCAAGACCATTTCATAACACCAAGTCTCCGCAGAGCCTTGGAAGTGATTCGCTCACAGACTGAGGAACAGATCGTCTGGGCAGATCAACTGTGCATCAACCAGTCCGACACCCAAGAACGCTCAAGCCAAGTTGGAATCATGTCGTTGATCTACGCAAATGCTGAGATGGTCTATGTGATTCTTGAGGGCATGGAAGAGGGAAGCGGACAAGCGGCTGCAGACCTTGTGAAAAGAATGAAAGTTGAAATCGAACAAGAACTCAAGAAATTCGGTTCCCTAAGCGAAATCCCGCCACTGGAGCAGGGACAGCTTAAGATATACGATACGCTTGACTGGCCTGCATTGAATACCATGCTGTTGACTTCTTGGTTTTCCCGCGCATGGGTAGTTCAGGAGGTGGGACTGGCGAGGAAAGCTATTATTGGATATGCGGGCAGTGAGATCGAGTGGGACTCTTTGATGTTGCTTTTGGATTGGTTGAGTGAGACTGGAGGTCTTATACGACGAAAATATCACCTCAAGGGATGGACGGTGCACCGTATCTGGGTGTCATATGTGTTGGATTTCCAAGGTATGGGGTCAAGTAGGTCATGTAGAATTGATTGAATTGTAAAGCAGTTATTGTACAGAGTATATATATGAGAATAGGGGTAAAAAGAGTGGAGTAGTATCCCAATGCGGAAACAGTGCAAATAATGAAATACATGTATAAATAATGAAATGAGTGGTTTCCACGGTTCAACAATATGACACGGAGGCGAGGAAGACGCGGAGGTTTTTCCCCCGATATTCTTTTACTGATATACTTAGTCACAGTGCGTGCACTTTCGGAGCTACCAATCCGCGGGATCATGTATATGCCTTTTTGGGACATCCAAGCTATGCAGAGGTTGGAGGAGCTTTGATTCAGCCAAATTACGACTAGTCGGTGAGCAAAGTATACATCAATTTCGCTAAACAGTGGCTCCATAAAACCCAACAAGCCCATTTATTCGCTTGCGTTGATCATGAATCTTTGCCTCGCGATTTGGCGGCAATGAAGTCACAGCAGGAACTTCCCTCGTGGTGTCCTCGCTGGGACTCTTTGAAAAATGGCGGGTTCTGCCTCAACACTGTACCCGAATATACTTGGTATAGAGCTGTCAAACATTCGAATCTTCAATTTAGCGAACATTCGGAGGACTTGGAGTCAATAAAAGTGGGAGGATTCGTCTTCGATGCCATTTCTCGGGGATTCGAGTATATTGAAGAAAGCGGATCCATCGAAAAGCCATCTCCCCAACTACGAATGTTCCATGTTTATCTGAACCTTCTTACACATATTGATAGAAGTCGCTTCGTTCATGTCTATGACGACCCCTTAGAAGCCTTGGCGTCAACATGTAACGCTGGTTTCATCCATGACAATCATGGTATTGATTGCTTAGCCTACATGAATACACTGCCTGAGAAACACATCCTACCCGCAGACCTACCCCAATCCTCCGGAGACCCCAAAGAGTTCGATGAACTCAGTGCAGAGACCACAATTGCAAGAAGAAGAGTCTTCATAACCACCAAGGGCTATATTGGCATCGGACCTAAGGCACTTCTCAAAGGGGATGTCTGTTGCATTTTGTTTGGAGCGAGTGTTCCGTATATTCTTCGTCCCCTTGAGGATGATTCTTATTTGTTGGTTGGGGAATGTTATGTTCAGGATATCATGCTTCGAGAAGCAGTTGACATGTACCGCGACGAACAGGAATTCGAGGAGTGTGAGTTTTTACTTCGATAATGTAGTGTTCAAACTTCGCCATATCATATAATTGTTACAAGAGAAACCTATCTGCGATTATACTTTCTAATATAGTACTTTACTTTCTATTCCTCCTCTTAGCTTACCCAACTCATAAAAAAGAATACTGGAGTCTCTTTAACGATATATACTAAAATTTTATTTCTATAGGTTAATAGTATAATTAAAATAAGATTCTATAACGAATGAAATAATCACTACATTCTCCGAGTATAAAGTATACTATTCTAATTAATCTTTATCGGAAAAATTTTACGTGAATAATAGTCCAGACTTTAAATATATACCTTGATTCTATAGAGACAGATCGGAATCACGATTAATAGAACCTCTGTTGTTTGCGCTAATTTGCGGTCTTGTACTTATAGTACCCAATATACTCTTATATAATCCCATCAAGTTATTCCAACATTGTTGTCACTCCGTGTTTTCTACCATAGGAAGGTTCTGTCAATTTATCTCTACTTTCGTGCGTTCCTAAACCAAGAACGTAAAATCATCACAAATAAAAAGAGAAAGAAAGAAAGAAAGAAAGAAAGAAAGAAAGAAAGAAAGAAAGAAAGAAAGCAAAACAAAACGGAACGATTTCAAATTGTATGATGGTGCTACAATTTCATGACTACCAGCTTCGCATTCTATGCCTGGTATATTCGCCGTACTTCGTAGCAGAGAATGTTATATCGCAAGAAAAGGGCATGCTATAGTGTGAATAAGCTTTTAAGGTTGTAGTGTTTCAGACCTCCCCTCCGATCAGTTCATGATACTTTCTTGGTAAGCCACCAAGCCGTGGATTTGGAAAGGAGCTTATGTTCTTGACCTTTTGAATTGAGATATTGTTTTCTCAAACTGTGGCTTGGAAAGGATATCGAAGCTAGATAGTAACAAGTCTGCGCGCGAGCTTTGCCCCAGAATCCAAGTAGAACATTGAGATGGAGACTCAATTGGTTAATGTAAACTTTGTCACATCTAATCGGCATGACGCTGTCCAGTTTCAACTATCCACCTTGTTTCCAATCTTGAATTGGACTAAGCCTTAACTTGTCTTTATTCTACAATTTGCAAATAACTTCACCAAGGCTACCTCTCTAAAAAGCAATGTATTCTTGAGAATACTATACGGTGATTTTTAGTAAGTAGTCCTTCGGAAAGTTCCTGTTTAGTCGGCAAATTAGGGATCTACCAAAGGGTTTCCTAAGGAGCCGATATTGACAATCCGGATTATACGACTTAAATACCCTGATTTCCGGGTCCCGCACGACTTCACTACCTCTTCCCCTATACAACTCTCTTCTATGCCTTACAGACCTGGGCGCCGATACGATATATTATCGATATAGAATCCTACGATATCGATAAATATCGGATCTTTTTGTGCCTAAAATTAGTATTTTTTAGGGTACTTTTAGGGGGTTTTTGGGGTGATTTTGAGCTGGGGTTTGAAAGAATTCTAATAAGGATAGGGATATAGGCGACGATTCGCGATTCCCTTAGGATTAAAACCCCTAGGGAGATTAGGTGTAGGTACGAGTAGTAAGTAGTAGTATGATTAATTAAGGACCCCTATATAATAACGTACAATGATTAGTCAGGGCCCGGATTTACTATTGCCCACGTTACGTGTGCCGACAATCGATATTATATCGATTATTACTAAGAACCCGATATAATATCGTCGAAATATTTCCGATATAATAATTATCGGCTACCCCCCGATATTATATCGATATATCGGTGCCTAGGTCTAATACCTTATACTACTCTTATTCTATATAATTAAAGGAATAAATATATCTTAGAGGTAATTTAAGCCCTAGATATTAATACTACTTTTCTTCTAAGCTATAGAACGCCTAACTCCTAGGTAATAAGATAAGAGTAAAGAGAAAAATAAAGCTATTTTTAACTTTAAAAATACTTAGAATAATTTAGTAGTCTATAAGTAGCTAGGTAGCTACCCTTTATCTCTCCCTATATAAATAAGTATTTTAAATAATCCTCTTTTACTACCTTCTAACCCTATAGAAAACTACTATAAGATAGCTTCCGTACCTATAGTAAATTCCTATTAAATTTAAGACTATTATTACTTATAACAGGAATTAAGCTACTCGGTACTACTACCTTTGTTCGTACAGAAGTAAAAGTTCTTTCGAAAGCAGCGTGCTAACAGGGGCAGGGATAAAGGTAGTAAAGTCGTACGAATCCCTGAAATCAGGGTATTGAAGTCGTATGATCGATAATCCGGTTCATCCCATGATTTTCCCGCTTAAATCCCCTTCTACGAAGTCGCACCGCTTTTCTCCTTGTAGAAAACTTACAAATACTGTACAAGTAGCACTGACTATTAACCATTTCCAATGCGATTTGAGGTCACGTGGAGAAACTGCTTTTCCACCTTTTTTCTTCTTTGAGATGCACTTGAGATGACAGATAATTCCTGACACATTACAATTGCCAAAATCAGAGTCATGATCCTTTAGTTGTCCGCAAGATTACAAAGCTTTAAAAAATATGTGGTTGGATCCCGGACACAAAAGCCCAGCTTCTTCCAAGGACTCGTACTTTTACGACAACCTCCACTCACGGATGCGGCGGAAGGGCTCATACTTCGTACAAACGGCAAACGCATATGAACAGAATGATCTAAGCACATATTTCCCACACCATAGAGTTGCATTATGATGACTTAGTAATGGTCCAGCAGGAGAACCTATCACCGGTCACTTGTTGAACAACCCCTTTTCCAGAAGCCTACTTGTATGAACGTGCTATGAGTACATTCATGGCCAGGTAATTTATGGATACCGTATCACAAGCAAGGAGGCTAATCCGCCGCGCAGTCTGATATTCTCCAACCTTTGAAACCATGATTGTTTGTGACCCAGGGACAGAAACTCTGAGGGCCTGTTTTGTCAGAATCTTGAGCATCGATATCTAGGTACTTCCAGTAGGGGAGAAGTGCTTGAGAAAGGCTCTCAAACCGCAAAAGTCTCTCGGATACTCGAATGGCTCCAAGCTTAGGCTAGATAGAAGCCAGAAAAGTCTTTAGGTCATACGTGCTGTAGCTTCAGGGCAAATAGGGCCTAAAACCCCGAGTGAGTTGTATAAGTCTATAAGGTAGCGCATTCGATAGTAAGTAATCAGTTTACTCCTTTAAGATAGACTGGAAAAAGACCTAGAGTAGAGACGCCTAAAAAGGGCTAGAAATAGTGTATGTAGAGCATTCTCCTGGGATTTCGGCTCATTGAGGACGATATTGAGGGCGGTATTCTAGTCTGAGCAAAATGCCCTTTTGTCTATATCTTTTAGCATTTCGTAACATGAATATTGTGCCTTAATGATCTTTGATTAGAGTTTACTGGGCACTTGGCTCCGCGTGAGCGACTCCTGGACAGCCAAACATGGCCCACATAATATGCCACAATAGGATTTTGGGGCACAACATCGTCTCGGAAAATATGCCCTATGTAGTAGGTATCCACCTCATTCTCGCGAACCTGTGAAGCGGTTATAAACCTTCTTGGCTCCCACCTAGGCATGAGTAGTTTGTGAGCCAAAGTATACATCCTAAGCTTTGCCAAGCACCAAAAGGCTGTAATTTACGCTGCAAATCCGTTGATTTCTGAAGGGATACTTCTTCGTGTACTGTAAACTTTATGACGTGCTCTCTGTTATCCCGAAGATCACTATTGAGAAGTATTGAGCCATGCGTTAGAAATCAAAAAAGCGACTCTCCTTTATTTCAAATTACCTTTAATTTTCAGAGCTTTTTCTACGCTTAAACGCCTAGAATCACCCCCTAAGTGTCCACTCCACTACGTACGGAAGCGGGCAGGAAAAGGTGCGAAACGATCCCGGCGACGTATGGGTGGATTTTAGCCTTTCTTGTCTTCTTGGTGTGCTCGAACTCACGCTTTTAGAGTTTGCTCTCCTGGTTTCCGTCCCTTCTCGAAACCATCATTTTTCGGATGGCATCTTGCCCAGTCTTGTGTGTCGAGGATCGATGGAACTCAGATCTGAAGCACTGTTCGCGCATTTCACATTGCGCCGTGGGCTTTCCAAACATCCTGCCTGGTTATTGGATGTTGTTGGAGCGGATTGATATTCTCCGGAGAACTTGTGAGCGTTTCGGAACAGTCCCGTCATATCCTCGTCAACCTCTTGTTTGTCTAGAACTCCCTGTAGGACAACATGGGGCCCGAAAATCCATCTTTAATCTCTCAATCGTATATAACATCCTAAGTCTCTTCCCTTTTCCATGATCCTCATCCATTCCTCATTCATTCGTGTTTAATCATTCTTTCTAAGTGCTGGCACTAAATCATTTTTGTTCTCATTTAATCCTTTTCAACAAAAATTACATTCGACACTCTCTTTTGAACAAATTTGAGCATTTCAAAACACGCAAATATGAAGTTCCAATCTTCCATAGTCCTAGCGACTTTACTCGCCATTGGCGTCAACTCCTCGCCAGTTCCAGCGAAGGTTGAAGAATCAAACAAGACTGGAAAGAACGTTCAAGCCTTCACTGGTACCTTGGGTGGGCCAGCAGATCCAGGTTAGTATTTGACTTATTACTGCCTTGTAACTCTAAACAATTACTTGATATGGCAATGCTGACTTTGATATCTTTCAGTCATCCAGTCAGACGATCCTAACAACAAGCGACCATTCCTTACCGACAATGATACTTTCGTAGGTGGTGGAGTTGCTCTTGGACGAAGTTGCTCCAAGCAAAACAATGCCTGCAACCGAGATAAAGCCAACACTGCGGAGGCTTGCCAAAAGCAAAAAGAAGAGTGTGATGCCCTTGCAAAGACTACCGGCGAAGCCCTTGCCGCCAACAAGAAACCAGCTGGAGGTGAGGCAGGAACGCCACCACCACAAAACCAGGTAAATACTACTCAGCCCCAACTCATGAAAGCCAAGGGAATTAGTACAGATCCAGCAGACCCAGCTGCAAATCCAAGAAAGGAGGCTGAGGCGAGGAAGGCCAAAGTAGCTATGCGGGAAAGGTGAAGGACTTAGAGAGAGAAATGCTAACGGAACTAAATCAAAGGGCAACAACAACGGTACTGTAGCTTCAGCCGCAAAGAAAGGTGAGGAGAAAAAGAACGCCGAGGAGGATCCCGTAAAGAACGCCGAGGAGGATCCCGTAAAGAACGCCGAGGAGGATCCCGTAAAGAACACCGAGGAGGATCCCGAAAAGAACACCGAGGAGGACCCCGAAAAGAACAACGAGGAGGATCCCGAAAAGAACAACGAGGAGGATCCCGAAAAGAACAACGAGGAGGATCCCGAAAAGAACAACGAGAAGGAACCCGAAAACAACAACCAGGAGGAGGAGCAAAAGAAGCAGCAAGAAGAGGAGAAGAAGAGGAAAAAGGAGGCGGAAAAGAAGCAGAAAGAGGAGGAAAAGAAGAATAAGAAGAACAACCAGAAGGACAATGAGAAAAAGAACAACAACAATAACAATAACAACAACAACAACAACAACGGTACTGAGGTTGCCTCGGTGGCTATCAAGGAGACTCCCGCCAAGAATGGTACCGCCACAAAGCCAGCTCCAGTGAACAAGAGCGCCGCCAATGGCACAGCACCAGCTGCTGGTGGATTACTACCTGATGGAAGAATCGCCCAAAACATCAAGGTCGAGGACTTCGATGTTAAAGCTTCCGTATTCAAGAGCGCTGTTGTCAAAGGAGATGGACTCAAATTCAGTGAAATCATCACCTTTCCAGATGCTACTGTTGCTAAGCAATCACTCGTAAGTTTTAATCAGCAGCCATTTGAAAGTCCATTCTAACACATGAAAGTTCGACGTCGCTGGTAACACCAAGGCTTTCGCTATCAACATCAATGACAAATCCATCTTCCTTCCAAAGGGCGGCAAGCCAGAAGAGAACAACCGACGTGCTGATCTTCTCCCAAGCATTATCTCAACTGAAAACGATGTCGCTACCACGGGAGTAAAGACCATACATTTCTCTATTCAAATGGACCCTGCTAAGCCTCTCAACCTTACTCACCAATACGCTCTCTCCTTCCTTGAGACCAAGGATTTCACTACCCATATCTATGAAGTTGTTGTTGGTGGCGCTGATGACAAGAACATCAGAGTCACTTCAAACAACAAGGGTGGAGCTGCCAAGGATTTGTTCTCTGCTCCTATTGCTAAGGGATTCATGAACTTTGCTCTTACCATGGACTTTGAGAAGAAGTAAGCCTAATCCCTGAAATTTATTCGAATCAATCAACTAACATCTTTTTAGCACCATCCAAGTTTTCCACAGCATCGACAACGAGCCACTTAAGCAAGTTACCGAGCCACTTGAAAACGACAACACTGGAAATGGAGAATTGCATTTCGCCATCCTCAAGCAGTCTGTTGACCAAGCTCCTCAGCCAACTGGCATTGATGAGGCTGTCATCTTTGGTGGTATCTTCATGGAGGATACCGCTGGTAGGACTGCTACTTTGTCTTAAGCGAATCCTGACTAGGGGTATCGCCGTCTACCCAATCTTTCTATAAGCACGGCACTTATAATAACTGTGGACTTTAATATGGCTATTTATGAATAAATTATTTGGATCAACTTTATCGGTTTTCTGTAATTGAATAATCGTTATTATCCTTTTCATGTGCATTGTAATATTTCGCTTCACTTCATTCTATATCGTGTGGCTGTGAGGGCTTTTGCCGTAGAGGTCATAATCCTACCACCACAACTTACCTTACTTGTATATTTACGGATTCCATCTTTGATTGGTGGAGGGTATTGATACGCCAGTGTATTTGAAGTGGTATCAGGAGTTGAGGGTCCCACAATGTATGATGGGATATGCGGCATTATTTCTTTCATGGAGGTTCTCTGCCCAGATGAAAGCCGATGTAATGGGCATATTACTATGGAAACATTGTTTACCAAATAATATGCGTCTTTAGTCTTAAGCAATACATTTTGATAGACGTGCTGTGGCGAAACACACCTTCATTCATGTCCCCCTTCATAGCAGGGGGGTAGACCCATGGCGACCTTAATGATAGTTTTATTACCCTTGCACTGTACAAAATTGGGGAACGGAAAAAAACGAACAAACAACCTACTCGTTTTTCCGCCATAATTATTTTGATTAGAAGGGCAGCTCGTTATGGCTTACTTGCGTTGCTATCTTTTGCAAGTCATTGGCATAATACTCATAATGCGGCGCATAAAAACGTGCAAAGGTTGCAGTGCAGTACGTAAAATCTGCAGCCCTAAACTCGCTTGTGCCACACGCTGTGCCCCTTTGCCGAGTAATTGTACGAGCAGTGCAGTCAGCTTTAAGATTGTCTTAGGGAGTTGAATTTAAGCGTCTCTTCGGGTTCTGAAAAAACTTCCTATTTTGTTCCTCCCAAATCAAACTTGTTGTCGCACCTTTTAAACATTAAATCATGACAACGTAACTAAAAAGCTACATAAGTACTAGTAAAAATGTTGATGGGTTAATTCTGAGTCCACTAGTACTTTTTATATATTTTTCTGAATTTTGTAGAGTAAGAAACCTGTTGTTCAAAACAGTGTCTCCTTGGTACGAATTCGGAAGTTTTTTCAGGACCCGAAGAGAGCGTGAAGCATGGAGGTCGTAAGTTCTGACCATCTGGTGTTCCGATATCCTCTGTGTACCTGTGGGTTCACTCCACAATCTTTTTACGCCGCATACTATCTGCCAGCTTCAATTTCCCGCCCGTTTCCGCCATTTTGAATTGGTATGAGAAACTGGTAGTCATGGATATTGATACGCGAGCGGGTGTGTATGGCTATATTACTGGTGGCCTCGTTGTAATCAGCGGCTGTCAAGTGGGGATGTTAAGCGAGGATGTCTAGGTTTTCGCTAATACATAATGTTCCCACCCTCAATAATTTTCCTGGCGACCACCTGCAACTAGTTTAACTTGTCATTCATTCAGTTCCGACATTCATTTCTTATACGATGACGAGGTTTCACTCTTTTACTTCTGCCATTCTGCCACTCGTTATTTTCTGTTTGACAGCTCCTAGCTTGGGTAAGAATTCTTTCATTTTCCCATATTCCAGCATACCGGGACTAACCTTAATAAACAGGAGAATCTCTCTCAAGCCATACAACACTTTTCACTCAGGAACCCATAAGTGTCCCAACAGCCGTTAGTACCAGTTCGAAGCCGTTATTTACCAGACCGCCAGTCAGTCAAGGCCAACCTGGGAGAAATCCCGAAGCTCCGCATGCCATACACAAAACCAGTGGCCTAGTTCCGGTTACTGCGGATGGGCCAGCGGTATCTATTGCAAGCCCAATAGCTGTGGCAACTAGTACCCCTAAACCCACTAAACGACCTACCCTTGGTCCACCGGCCCCTTATGATATATCCGCGGATGATGAATTGGTACCGACAGCTCCGGATGGACCACCTGTATCGAATACGGCAATAGTTTCAAATCCAACACCGCCCGTGAATGTTCCATCTCCAAATACCAACGCTCCACCACAATATCCTAATAACAATCCACGACCAGTCGACGGTTCCCCTTCGAAAAACCCACCATCGAACGAACCCCAGCCTATCAACGATTTTGTCCCTAATAATTCCTCTCCCAAAGTCAATGGACCGCCAGTAACGATGCCATCTTCTGATAATCCAGTATCCGAAAATGTGACGCCTGTTATTAATGGTCTTTCATCTCCGAACAGCCCATCAGAAGCCAACCCCGACGAATCAAGCCAGCCTTCTCCATACGCTCTACTACCAGCGACTAAAGAGAATCCAAGTAATGGTGACCAAGGACTGCCATCAGTTATCCACTCGCCAGGTAACGCAGCTGGAGCCAGTAACCCGGTCAATGACAACACCGGTCCATCACCAGACAACGTCCAACCTGGTCAAGATAAACCCTCAATTCCGATTGCAGTGGCTGCATACGACTCTAGTATAGTCTCGGCTATTCCAGGGGAGAAGAATGGACCACCAGCTTTTATACTTCCCGGAGGACCAACTCTTCAATCAGGGCAAATATTCACGGCGCCTCCAACCGTTCCTGGAGGGAACTCGATCATCATTTCACTTGCACCGGTACCTACAAATACTGCTCAAATTGGAGTATCTGTTCATAATCTGGTTATCAGCACCCTGGGCGCTCCGTCCGCAACCACGATAACACCCCCAAATTTCCTCAATCCACAAAACCCGGCTGCAAATCCCGCTATCAATTCCTTTCCGGTTGCGAAGACGATAGTCTATGATTCCCAAACTCTGGTGATGGGAGGACCTGTCGCTACACTTGCAGACAAAAACGCCGTTGCAAGTTATGGGCCTCAGGGAGTGGTGATTCAATATCCGGGTGGCAGTTTATCTTCGATTCCTCTTGGCGCAAGTCAAGCGAAAACCACCAGCGGAGTTGTTTTTGGAAATAAGAATAGCGCTGTGGTAGGGACTTTGATGACCAGTATTGTTAGCGATGGATCTATGTCTAATAGTACGGTGTCACAAAGTGCGACCAGGACTTCAATTGTTGCACAAGTGACTGAAAACCCTTCCAGTACTCCAAGCGAGGGGAAAATTCCCGCAGCAGCAAGTGGGAAAGCACCGTCCAAAAATGGATGTGGGAGGACTATTGTGGGTGGGTTTTCGGGGTCGAAATGGGGCTTGGTTCCTGTTCTTGTTTTTGCTTCGTTCTTATAATTTTGGTGGTTATAAGTACTGTCATATTCTTTGCAGTAGTAATGTAATTATGTAATCCACAAGAGACCTCCAAGCATTCGCTCCTTCTCACTAATAACATTCCAATACCCAAAGTACACAAGGTAAAGAAGTCCACGATGAATGGTTTTGTTCCATGCTTTGTTCATAAATTCATTGGTATCATAAATGTATTATTGTACTAGACCTTCTGCCATACCCCTTCATCTCAACCCCTCCTTTCTCGACACCTCGCTTCCCTCAATATTCTTCTCACTCTCAGCTTCCACATCCTTCTTCTCCCTCTCGACCTCCTCGCCAAGAGGCTTCCTCCCAATCCCACCGCTAAACTTCCCATTGACATTCTTTCCACAGTCTATCAAATCACTAACAAAAAACGAATCACAAGGTCCCCCTCCATTCCCGTCTGCAATCTCCCCGCCTTCATTTTTGGAACTGCTGAGTTTCGAGGGAACCCAAATAGGCTTCATGACTTCGATATTTTGATAAGATTCTTTCTCTTCATCGATCGTCTCGCTAACGCGAAGGTCTTTCGCAATCCCTTCCTGATGAGAACCAAGCTGTGTCTTCCTTAAAAGTAATCCCCAGATATTCAAATCTGCTATACTGGATTTATGAGGACTCGTCTTGCTCTTTTCATCCCCACTCTCACCATTCTGCACTTCGTCTTCCTCCTGTCTGCTTCTAAAAAGTAGCTCCCAAATATTCAAATCCCCTATCCCATACTGAAGGGGCCTCATTGATAATTGGAACTTTTCTGGTGAAGTCGTAAGCGCGTAAGAATTCGGTTGTGTATGGGGTGTATGCGAGGAGTGACTTGGTATCAGATGTCTGATATGTACGACTGTGAATAGTAATATCGAGATTGAAAGAGCGGAGAGGACACAGAATTTGAGGCGTTGGTCGCTCTGTGTGGCGGCGAGTGATGGGGAGTGCATTTTCTCTCGCTCGGTTCCTCTTTAGATGATGATGAAGACTTCGAAAGGTTAATTACGATGGGAGGCCGTGGAATTTGTGGCGGGGTGTTTGTGTATTCAGATTATCTGGTATGGTTTTTACTCGTAATACCTTGATGTCCAAACTCGTGTGCGGTAATTGTACCCTGCAGTGTAATGAATATCGTCCACCTCGAAACTCGTCTGTAGGCAAGATTATAATCTCTCGTTACGAATAAAATCCGATTCACAACACATCAACAAGAAGTTGAAAGACAAGGAGGCAAAAAAGGGCCACAAGCTAAGTATATATTCCCCCTCCCTACTCAGTACCACCTCCACTCCATCAGACCGCAGCCACCCCAACCCCATGAATCGGTCTAGCCCGCGCCGGAACCAGCCCAATACCGTACTATAACCAAGATTAAGTAGACATCGGAACCCATACCGCACTACCAGCTGCCACATGCCAGCACTACCTTAAGCACCACCTTAACCCAACCTACCACCGCACGAAGTCCGACATCCCATCCTTATTTGCGCTATTTGCTTGTGAATCGAGTATCGCGGCAAACAACACCAACAATTCCAAGAACCCCCCCTCCAAAACAACACCAAAAAAACCCTACCAACAGCCACCATTCAATTAAAAACATCAAGCATAACCCCTCCATTGCCCCTCACAAAGTGCCGTACAAGAAGAACGTGTGGCTTGGATGCGGACATGGACAAAGCATAAAGTTCAGTAAATTAAGGTTACCAGGTTTGCTGCTTAAGTGGGTCGATTCCGGGGTGCTGCCAGCTCAGTGGGTGGTACGAGCTATATTAGCCGCATTATTGTCATCGTGATTTGGCGTGTCGCGTGATGCGGATGGGATTGCCGGTTGCACCATAGGAGAAATGGGAAGTTGGGGGCGGGGAGGATGGGGCATGTGATGGGAGTATCAGAGATGCAGTAAGATTTACATGGTGATTTACTCGTAGTTGGGGTCCTCAATTTGTGAATCTCTAACCCATTTTGCAAATACGTGCCACCGTGCCAAACTAGAAAGGGAAAATGTAGAGATTGATCAGAAGCTATTTTTTTCCATCTCTACACGAAATAACGCCAGTCGATACATAATCGCACAGTTAGAAAAGAAAAGATAAGCTAGCCAGAACGACTATCTATCTCAGGCTCCCCAGGTATATCCTCAGAATTGCCACTAACCACCACCATCAAGAACATGGCTCCCCCATACCAAAAGAACCTCACCCCCAAAGCGGAGCCGTAACCTCAACTCCCCTCTCCACAACTGCTCTCACCCGATCCCCAAATACCCGATTCGAACACTCGACCTCCAAGTCCTCCAACCAGACCTTGGCAACCATCTTATCAACTTTGATCTCTACACCGGGAACAGGAATACCGAGTTTATGCAGACGCTCAATCTCCCACTTCTCCTGTTTCTCTCTTGTGGAGGTCTCATTTTCATCGGAAGAGGAGGAGGACGAGGAGTCGGTAAGTGAGGGTAATGGTGTAGAGATGGATTTTGGTGTTGGGATAGGATTGATGTTTTCTGCGCCGAATTGAGCTTCGAGAAACATGAAGAGACGCTCGAGACGTTCGGTTGGCGACAAGTTTGCGTGGGGATTGCGGGAGGGGAGGACCGGAGAATGGGAGTGTGAGTGGGAGTGTTTGTGGGAGGATCCTGTGATGTGTTAGTTCGTTTTCAGAAAGGTAAAAGGGTAAAGGTATTCGGGAAACTCACGTCTAACTGCTGCAGGACTACTCTCCACAGAAAAGAGAACAGCCATGATTGCATCTGCAATCCCGTCGTTCAACATGTTGCCCTCCCATTCCAATTCCACTTCTCCATTGTTGCTATGGCGAACGGTAATACAGTCCATGACCAAATAAGCCGTAGTATCTCGAGAGATTTCCTCATCTGCCTCTCCAGAGGATCCGTTCATGTGTGAATCACCATTCGTACCGTTCTTCGATTTTTCGGAAGAAATCTCGGAGATACTTCCAAATGTACCTTCCAAAGCCCATTTGATTAACTCGATACCAGCGGCGCTAAGATTCATTCTTTGCTTGCAAGTAATCGTGGTAGTAGTCAAACCAGCATATTCTCGAAGATCCTCCGGCACCATCAAAGACATCTTGAAATCGTTTTGGACCAAAACGCCAGTGATGAGTTGAGACTGACTTTCATCCAGCGTAGGTGGTGGAATAGAAGCAAGTTTTCCCACAACCTTGGCAATTTTGTCTGCTTTGAATGGAATTCTGAGTTCTTCGCAGTTTCGAGGGCTGTAGACTTTGACCTTGTTTGTTTTGTCGGCATTGAGCGAGAGGAGTTTGGATTTCAAACGCATCATGTTATGTTGCTCGCCATGTACGAGGATCTAGGTATTGTTAGCCTATTGATGAGTGTCACAGGATGATTTACTTACGACTACAGGCGCAGCAACTTCTTCGATGAACTCTCGGTTTTCGGTCCCGTCAACATGGGCCGCGAAAGAGTATTCTTGAATCGTGCATCGCCTAGGTATCATCACTTTCTCGCCATCACCCGCACCAGGTCCTCTTCGTGCACCACCTGTATTACGAGACATGATGGCTTGAATCTGATCAGGCTCTTGCATAATCTGCTTTGCCATCGTGCCTTCAACACTGTAACCAGTAATGATAACAGCATTCTTATCACTCGGAGCCCAGCGTTCGAGCAATTCTCTGCTTACTCCATTCTGCAACATACCAGGACTAGCAAGCATGACACAGCTTCCAACATCGTCAAATCGATCCAAACTCTTGAGCGATCGGATGTATTTAAAATCCCAAGGGCCTCCTTTTCCCGCCGTATCAGCTGACGCCTCTGCTTCTGCCATTCTTTCTCGGAAAAGGCGTTTGATATTATCGTTCATAGCTCCGACATATGTTTGATAAACAAGCATACATTTTCGAGCCAGGTTACTAGCATAGTAGATGGGTACCTTTTGGTACTCTGCATGCCGACCCCAATATTCGTCCAAAATCAGTAGAAGCTCTTGTGCTCGACCAAGTGCAAAAACAGGCATCAGAACTCTTCCACCTCGATTGAGAGTAGTGGTGATTGATTTCATAAGCGCTTGTTCTCTCTCCAGTCGGGGAATATGCGAGGCAATTCCATATGTTGATTCCGTAATTAACACGTCGATTTTCACACCTTTTGGAACTTCAGCAGAGACCAGATGTCGATCGTGCTCTCTTGAATAATCTCCGGTAAAGAATATTTTCAGACCAGCGATCTCAATAAGAAACATAGCAGCACCGAGAACGTGACCAGCCGGGTAAGGAGTTATTCGGATCGAGGATATCGTGTGCGTGGTATGATAATCAATGGCTTCGATCATAGGAAAAGTCGTCAAATGGTCTTGCTCAGTAAAGAGAGGTTGTGAGGTTGAATTGGCCCCGGAAACTCTGATACTATCGGAAACAAGCCATTTATAGATAGCTTTTGTAGGATGGGTCATGAAAACACGGCCCTTGAAGTTCGTCTTTCCCAAAACGTATGGCAGAGAGGCTGCATGGTCGACGTGAAAACTTGAGGAATGTCAGCATCCAGTTTTTGATCTACTTCTACGCACTTGGGATTCCAACACGACAAAAGAAAGCAGGGGCGAGTTATGTACAATACTGTATACTCAAACGCAGGACATCTTCACAGAATCGAGACATGGATTCGTTCGTTCCAGAAAAATGATTTGTATTGTTTTCTCGTATACATGAAGATTCGTTGAATAACATAAAAAGAAAATGTGCCCAACGTGAGATGACACGCCCATGCTGATCGCAGAAATATCAAGTCCGTCCCTGCCCATCGGATCAAGTACAAAGGAGAGTCGCTTACTGGCTGATTAATAGCACATCCACCGTACTCAGGTCGAAATCGTCATAGAAGGGGAGGGCAGCTAGACCTTCGTATCCTGCATGCATACCAGCATCAAGCTAAGGATTGTTAGCAATAAATTCTCGGGAGCATGGCATACTAGAGGGAATTACCATGACTGTCTTGCCTTTGTACTGGATAATGTGACACGATCTGCCGACCTCATTACCTCCACCTAGACATAGAAACATCAATTCATCAGCTGGATCCACGGGTTCTTCTGGCGCAGGAGCCATGGCCGCCGCCTTTCGTTTTGATGCCATCGTGGGAATATCTTTCTTATGACTGGATGGCTCTGCAGGCGATTCTAGATGTGGTTACGCGACGCCTTCTCAAGGCAGAACGCAGTCAGCACAATTGCATATCTCAAGCTTGATGAAGCTGGTCCAGTATCACGAGTCTAGACGTAGAGAGTCTGCGAGATTGGTACAGAGCAGAGATTCGCAATTGAGGTGATCGGTTGGTTGGTTGGTTGGTCGGTCGTTGATGTTCACTTCGCAGATCAAAGGGAGCAATGATCCATAGAAGGTAGGCTGGGAGGTCGCGCAGCGCATGGAAGTGCTTGGCAAAAGCTAGCCTTACCGCGTGTCACGTGAAATAATGGGACTTGACTTCCTGTCAGGAGTCGCGACTGAGCTTTGTGATCCTCCTTCCAAGCTTCACATCATGGACACATTCACCACAGACAGACATCAATAGCAGCACCTCAACGAATTAGGGGGCATCTCCAGTCATCGCCTACTTATTACCCAATTCTATCAACACAACACAGGTGAATCGCGTATGGGTGAAGCAGTTGGGAGGAAGGGGGACTTTGCGCCTGCCATGCGAGGTTTCTAAAAGGCTATTTCACGAACCTCAAGAGAGCAGAGGAAGGAATTATAGAAGAGCGAGAGCGACCTAGATCAAATCGCAACGATGGCGCAACCACCGCCCCAACAGCAGCAGCAGCAGCAGCAGTTCGCGATGCCGATGCCCCAACGGCAGTTCTCTCCCCAGGAACCGACCGCGACGTCACCGGGAGGAGCGCCTCAGCAACAGTTCTCCTTCCCACCAAACAAGCGGCAGCGACTGTCGCCAAATCCACCCTCGCAGCCAGGCTCACCTTATAGCACTTCACCTTATGCGATGAGTCCTGGCGCCTCGGGTCCGCAGTCGGCCGCCGCGTCCCCTCATTTTACCAACGTCCAAATCCCACCCAATGTCTATAATACCCCCTACGCGAATGGGCACACCACGCCTACGGGCAACCTGAATCTTTCTCAAGCGCAACCGAGCCCCCAATTACAAAGGACGAATTCACTCACCTTTCCGAGTCAGAATCAAAGCCCGAACTCGGTTATACCTCCAAACCACGGTCTTCCACAGAACCACGGTCCTCCTCAAAATCACAGCATGCCCCCGAACAACAACGGTTTTGCCACAAATTACAACTATACCGTACCCATGCAGGGCTCTCAAGGCGCAGGTATGATGGGTCCTCCGTCGAAACCCCCAGAGAAACCCAAGGAAGATGGACTGGATGGGATGGATGTTTTAGGTGGTACTGGTGTCGATCTTCGAGAGGAAGAAGCATACTTGATCAATGAGTCGTTCAACGCGCAAACCACTGGTTCGCAGGCTGGCCATTTCACCCCCGGACACAGTTTCTCTCAGTTCCCTCCTGGAGACAAGAGTACTTTCTACGGATCAGGTCCTGCGAACTCGGGCAACGAAATCACAAGTATAGAGGCGCAAGATGAATTTCAAAAGAGAACCGCAGACAACGCATGGCGCGATGCAACTCATGCACTTGCTACATCGAGACAGCACGAGTTGAATAACCCATTTCTTGATATTGAAGTCCTTCAACGAAGAGCCGAGAAGCTTGCTCGAGAATATGGCCTATCTCTGAATGTCGATCGAAATGGCAAGATGGGCTCATTCAAGCTACCGCATCAGTTTTCGACTTCTACACTAAATGTTCATTCCAATACCGTCCCTGGAAATAGTACTTTTACCCATGTTACTGGTAGTTTCCTCCCTGTGGACACCCAACTTGCAGATCAGATTGCGCTCATGTCTTTGGCTACGAAGCATCGTATGCGAGGTCTGGTCGAGGACGCTGCACAACTAGCAATGGAGAGACGGGTGGCTTCCCATGGGGTAGTCCCACCAGACTGGTCGGATGTTGCTGTACCGCTCAACGTCAACGAAGGAACCATTGCCCCAGAAGGTGGTGTACGCGCTGGATGGGAGGGCGCAGTTGATCCCAAGCCGCAAAAACGTATGTCAGAAATATCGAAATATTTATTCACTCTTGCACCCGGCTAACATGTGACAGGCTCTCTCTCAGTTGCAGGTGAAACTCCTAGAATGTCTAACCCAGTGGTTTTTACTCTTCGAGAATTAGCTACGAAGGAGCGGGATTACGAAGAGGAACGTCTGAAAAAACGGCAAAAGCGAGAAACCCCCAGCAATGCATCTCGACCAGGCTCCGTTGTTGGTACGCCAGGTTCTATCGCTCCCGACGTTTCCGAGAAAGCCCCGACCAAGAAGGAACAGAGCAAAAAAGCTCAAGCCAAGGTCAACGAAGCAGCAACTCACGCAGCTGCCAACAGCACCATGTCGGCTTTTATGTTTGGCGGAAAGAAGCAGAAGAAGTATTCCTGGATGACAGGCGGTGGTAGTGGTGCTAGTACTCCTGGACGACCTGTCATCCCTGGAATTGGGGCGCCTACCGGCCCACCCGTTCCCGCAAAATTGACGGTGGATGGTGTGAGACGGCTGGGTAGTTGGCGCGAGGATTCGGAGAAAGGGAAGCATATTCAATTGCGAGATTTGATCTTTGTCTTGGAACAGGATGGACAACAGAAAAAGGCTTTACAGGTGGCTTATTTGGCTGTGGGGGAGAGTGGACCTAAGTGAATGCGTGTGTAGGTACCTTGGGCGTACACACTTTTTTGCATTCTGAGAAATGTACTTTTTTGAATGATCCTCTGTGGGGGCTATGGGGTGGCGATATATGCCATTTCTGGCAGTCTGGCAGGGCAGGTAATGAATTGATGGGAGGTGGCGTTGATTTGGGTCTTTAATATCCTACTTTCAACTGCCAATTCTGACGTTACTAAAAATCCCATTACATCACTATCATGATGTAGCTGTATTCTGAGAGAGAGAGAGGAAATGGAAATCAAATGGTCAAGAATATTCACCATGTATTTGCTCTCTTTTGCTGGGCGCTGCATGGAACAATAGCGTTGCTCTTTTTTTCCAAGTTTACTCTGTTGTGTTATATACATACGTTGAGATGGGAAAAGAAACTGAGAATCAGTAAGAGAGGACAGGATAATACAAGGACAGTGAATAAGGGTATTAGTTGAGAAATGAACGGAATAACTCGCTGTTTTCGAAAGTGGATCTTCAAGTGTAAAGTCTTGTGTTTTGTGGTTTTGTATACGACCATGTTCCCTTGAAATATTGGCTCAATCTGTGGCTGCTCTTACATAAACAAAATGTTCCTTGTATTCCTTTCGTTGTGCTATGTAATATAGGCTAGCTAGGAAGAAAGTTTCAGGCAAATGGTATCTATAATCTAACATAGGACATCTATACAGAATGAAAACTGGATCTCCACCAAAGTGATACTCTACCACTCCTTTGCATTACAAGACAATCAAAACTCATCCCTAAACAGCAAAATACATCTTCTACTTGCGATAATACTGGCCCACAGTCATTTCCGAGTCAAGGTTCCTCTGCCGAGTATCCGGAATCAACGCCATGACGATCCTCCCAATAATCGTTCTCTTCGCGATCCTCAGTACAACATTATCACGCTTCGGTGCCCATTGTTGGGTCTGTCCTTCTACCACGTATCCCGCACCTGCACTACTGACACTTCCCACTGGCGCATGTTGCCTTCGTTGTTCCTTGGGAATGACTCTTAATGTGAGACCAACACTCTCATATAAAAGGACAACGATTAATTCTGGAATCAGCGCAACGCAAAGGAGAATTACCGCGCTTCCAGACAGAAGCGAGAATTTCCTATCGTTTGTGAAGATTGCGGTACAGGAGTATACCAATCTTACAAGTAAGAATGGGAGCGAGAAACCGATTGCGAAGAGGATACGACGTTCTCCCTGTTCGGCTGCGGAGATGGAGAGGGATGTGATGAGTGTTACCAGGATGGTGGCGACATATGCGATGATGAAGAGGATCACTCCTGCTTTACTGATGCTCCCAGGTTGTGCGGAACCCGTTGGTGACTTGGTTGCTACTTCGCCGGTGTCAACTCCACCCACGATTCCGAGGATTAAACCGATAGTCAAGAGGGTTTCGATCATTTTGATCCATGTCGTGTTGAATCCGAAGTGCAGGCTAGGTCTGGTCTTGTGGATGTTATCTACAAGCCGAGAGAGGAGACCCAGTGTTGCGAGGGCGAGAGGTGAGAAGCCGATGTTGGCGAGGATTGAGGCTCCTGTTAGGAGACTGATATTCGTGGGGTCGTTGATAGTTGCTAGTTGGAAGGCTCCTCCCAGGACTCGCGCGAGTATGAAGATTATTAGGAAGTACCATCCTGCGGATCGGCTGAAGCCGTGTCTGTAGGTGAGGAAACTTGCGATGAGGAGTCCTGGGATGTAGATGGCTACTTCGGCAGCGGCGATGCCTTGGTGGAATGTGAGGCCCATTGCTATGAAAGAGGGGAGGAAGAGGAGGAGATTTGAAATAGGTTATTCAAAACGTGCGATAGGCGGATTGGTTCTTTTGATGTATGAAGCAGCTAGCAGATTTGTTGATAGGAATAAGCGAGACTGAGGAGATATGATGAGAATGATTCAAAACAAAAAGCTTCTTACACAACAAAATAACATCACATATATATATATGTTCAAATCTCACACCTACTTCACGGCAATGCCTCCTACCCTCAGCCCATCATCTACAGATACACTGCCAAAACATCTCTTTGAACCCAATGCAGTAATTTGAGAAGTCAAATATACTACCCTGCAAGTAAGAGGCGCAAGGCGAACCAGAGGTTTGCAGGATGCAGAGGTTGTTTTACTGGATGTACCAATGGAATGGCTTCATTCTTTCGTCCGTTAGATCAAACCCCAGTTCGTGGCTGCAGGGCGATCGCCAAGCTGACGTGACAGGAACCATCCTTCCAGAGATGACCCAGACGGTAAAGAGGTTATGCTGAAGGTTTATTCTGAAGATACCAACGATATGAAAATTGCTAGCAGGTGATAAAGTCGTGATTTCAGTAATCCGCTTGGATATTGATGAATGCGAATGCTATTTGTGTCTGGCGAATACGAATCATGTTTTACTCTAACACAAACAATAACAGAAAGAACCGGGAAATTAGAACAAGATATAGTAAAGCAAACCAAAAATCCTCCTCCCCAAATTCTCCATGTTGTGCAATCCTGAGAAACTGCCACAGGAGGTTTGCAGGGCCGGCAACATTACGGCCATAAAAGTTCGGCAGGCGCAGCAGAGCCACGTCAACGAAAGTTTTCCCCAACATCTCCAATTTCCTCATTGAGGCACTGGGAAAATTGCTGTAGGTAACCATCACAGTCAACATTTACGATCCTTGTTACCACGCGAATCAGATCTGTGAAGGGGTGCTTTGTGGCAGGAGCTGAGAGTCGGTCGTAATGTCAACGTCTTCACCAAACCTGAAAAGGGAGCTAGAGACCATTCTCTCAACGGCAAAAAATGCGGTCCCGTTGTCGCCTTGATAGCAATCCCGAGAATGTCGATGAGTGATGTTGATGTGGTGTTCTGTTCTTCTGTCCGCAGCAATGCAGTTGGATGACGAAGCAGACGCTAGTCCCAAAGTAGTAATCCTTTCGTCTCCCCACTGAAAAGGCTCATAAACAAGCTTCATAATGCAGGCATTAGATTCGTTAGTGCAAGGCTTAAGTTTTACGAGCTTATGTTTTCAACTTTGTGTAACTCAACTCGGGAGAGCCGCTGATGTGTGTTTGTACAGTAAGTATTGTACCCCGTATGACTCTACCAATGCTAGTGATGAAATTCAGGTGACTGATCAACACTTGACTTAATTTGGAGATTCGGTGACAATGATAGATAGATTGGAAGTGTTATCTTCCCGTGAGAATATATGGGCATCCAGAACAGGGTTCAAGTCGGAATGGCTAGAATGATTCGTTTTTCTGATTCGAAAATTAGACCTGCCTAAGACCTTCCTTGAAACCATGTTCGGAACAATTTCTTACTTAATAGAGCCTTCGTACATAATGGAATAATTATACTCGCTTAGATGACTCGCTTGTACAAAAGCAATTGATTGACTACCTGAACCTTCATGAATTGAATCTTTCTTGCAGTATTCTTATGAATTTGAGCGCAGCACCCCACTAAAAATTTATTTGATACTATTTCTGCTCTCTCTACCTCATTAATTTCACCCACCGAGATCATAAAACGAAGCGAAGATAATTACAGAAATCATGCCCCAACTGAAAAATCTAACCCCACTCTTCGTACAATCACTTTTACTAGACGCAGCGTTGCCTTTTCCACTTCCTTGTCCCGAGCCCTTCGCTTCGCTTGTAGGAGCAGCAGTAGGTGTCTCACCCAGCAACAGTCCAGAACCAGGAGTCTTCGATACGCCTTGTATCCCGGTACTCGTGGGAGTATTCATACCACTCACAACACTGCTGACCAAGGTTCCCTCCGCATGCTTTCCTTCCACTGTCGATTCGGATTTTGGAGGCTTCGACATGCTCTGGATCCTAACACTTGTAGGGGTGATTCCACTGCTAACAGCACTATTAACCAAACTTCCCGCCTCGAGAGTAATATCTTTCTTCTGTCCGAAAATTGGTCCATTCGTAGCCTTTGTAGGGATCGGTCCCAGATTAGAGATTGTAGAGACACTTCCACCAGGATATTGTATAATAACCCCATCAGACCCATAACTCGCAACTGCATTCAAATTCGGCAATGTGACTACTGGCCCGCCTTTAATTAAAGTCTTTAAGTTATAAATGATAGCCTTTCCATCGGGGACGGGGGTGATGATTGGGTCCGTCTTTAATAATGCTGAAGGTGTTATCGTGGTTCCCGAGGGAGCGTTCAAAGTGCTGATTACGAGGTTTGGGATTGGGCTTGGGCGTGCATTCTCATTGGAAAATGCTAGCGAAAGAGATATTATAATCGGGTTGCCGCCAGCGTTATTATTGGGCACTGTGAGTACCTGGTCCGATTGAAGAGTTGAACCACCAGGGAGGAGAAATGTTGGTGGTGTATTGCTGGTCCCTGGGATTGCGGATATCACATTGTTACCATTATATGTGGCCACAGCGATGGGCGTGGGTAGTTTTGGTTGATCTGGGTGATTGGGTTGATTTGGATCACTTTGTTGAATATTGTTCGGGATATTGTTTGCAGGTGAAATGCTGTTGCCTGGAATTTCAATGCTTCCAGGGAATTGATTGTTTGTAGTTTCAAATATTTCAGTGGGTTTGTTCTGTGGGGGGTTCTGGGGAGGATATACGACGGTGAATGGACTTGATTGATCTGGCGACGGAATGTCTGAAGATAATTTTTTGGCTGGTTCTCCATTGTTCGTAGAGGAGCCGGCACCTGCGGATTTTGGGTTCTCAAAAGGAACTGGTCCGCTTGGTGTAGCTATATTTGCGTGAGGATTGATGTCAGACTCTGTGTTATCTGAAGCTGGTTTGCTATCAGGATGCGTGGAGGGGTTATCGTCTGGAAGTGGGCTATTCTCCAAAAGATTGTTGTTAATTTTCACAGGAGCAGGAGGAGAGTTGTCTTCCGGAGAAGGACTACTGTTTTCAGAGGGATTATCTTTTGGAGAAAAGTTCTTCGGAGGACGATTGTTGTTTGGAGGAAGGTTGTGTAAAGCAGGGTTATTGAATTGCGGCGTTGGAGCTGGATTTAGAGCAGTGTTTGGTGCTGAAGGTGGATTCAGAGAAGCTGCAGGGAATATCGCAGGGTGTACCGGAGGCTCAGGTGTTGCAGCTGGGGCATCCGGAGTGATTGGGAATAAATTTGCATTGAACTGCAAGACATAAGGGATAGCGCCGAGACCACTAAAACGTGGAATACTTATCCCCTCCCCCAGCCAAGGACAGTTGCACCAATATGGACCTGCAAGCGTATTTACAACATCTGCCCTGCCTTGGAAGAATTTGATACGAGGAATACACTGAGACTCGTTCTCAGTTGAACAATTCGTCTGTAAGTCTGATAGTTTCAACTGGGATAGCCCCTCGGAAATACCCATAGACTCCGCCCAACCAAAGTCAATGGTGGGCCTACTGGATACACCCTCTTTGGTTTTGCGGATGCTAACTTTTGTGAGATCAAAAGGTTGGATGAGGTTTGTCATGGTAGGGCCAAAAAATCCCGCGGAAAATGGATTGCATTTCATATACGCTGCCATTGTATTCCACATCAAATAGACTGATGGCGACGTACTTGTACTGAGTTAGCAAAGAAGTATTCCGGAATTTATTGAAAAGACTGACAAGGTATAATCGAGCTCTCGGTTGAAGAATGTTGTAAAATGTGTCTTGTTATTTTGTGGTTCATTAGGGAAGTAAATGAATTGGACGCCCTCGGCAACACTTCAAGTCCGAATTAGCATATTATTTGTAGAATTATAAAATGAAATGGATGTCGATTACACGTTACAGCCATCCCATATTGCGCACGTCGTATCGTTTATACCATTTCGTATTGAGCATATGTTGTTGGGCAATGGACCGGGTACCATATACTTGGCGTATGTTTCTGTAAAACTTGCATCGTAGCAGTCTTCTGGCTCACCATTGACTGGTCTCTTTCACTCCCATTTTGGTGTAGGCGTTATCAATGCCGAATAGGGGTTTGTTTGGCTTGAGGCAGTATTGATTGCTGTCGGCGTACTAGTAGAATTTGGAAAAGAAATCACATTTGTTGGATATGTGAAGTGGATTTTGGCTGCCCATAGCTGTCAGTCCCAGACATATCCAATTTTCAGGGGTTACAGTAAGATCACTTACCGAGTATTGGAGATGGCAGGTAGAGGAAAACGCTTAGTAGAATCCGAAAAGGCGGTATTTTAGCTGTCTGCATCTTGGAGGGTTTCCAAAAAGCGAATCAGAACCGATTTGGACAGGTATCAGCGATTACCCCTGACAAGAGAGACAAGGTCAATAGCTCTTGACTTATATGTTTTGTTTAATTAGAATTCTGCAGCATATACACCCCCCCATCGTTCATTTAGTCCTTCAATTGATCGTCGAAATCTATAAATTATTCTGAATTTACCCAGCGAAGGAGGCGCGTATTCTATTGACCCGGATGGAAATATATGCATTTTTAAAGTGTTATGGGGGCGAAATACACCTCAGGTACGTTCCTGTTGCCCATTCCATGCCTGATGGGGCCACGAAATGCAGGTACAGATTCCCCGTACATACACTATTGCTGGTTGGTCAGATGCTTCTTTATTTTCTCATTTCAGATAATCTTAAGGATCAAAGGGGTTGATACACAGCCCGGCTGCACCGTTCGCATATATTACGCCAATGCCGCGCGAACGTCAACTGGTCAAAATTGTAGGGCTATAGGCTCGAAATTGGTTGCCAGCTCGACGGGAACGTGTACATTTGATTTTGCCAAGAAAAAGGATGCCGCAATTTCAGTGCATCTCATCGAAGGATTTCCCCCAGTCTGGATAATTTGCGCATCCGACACCCAATTCGCTTAAAGCCATTGGAATAAGTTAGCTTTTTAGATGGAGAACAAGTTAATTTAGCGAGAACCTGCAAACATTTGTCGCAGCTTCGGTGATTCCTGGTTCTGGTGAAAAAGAAGCTTGTAGGAGGGGCATCTAGAAGAGGACCTCTTTTTAGGAACCACTCTTCAATGCAGGGGTCGGGAGAGAGAGAAAGGTCTGTGGGAAGAATGTTTTGTGGTTTACAGTAGTGGGAAAGGAAAGAACAACTGCGCTTGGTTGTCTGTGGAGCAGCTAAATACACCAGCAGCAGCATCGACTCGCGAGGTCGCGAAATTAGGAGTCAGGCTGTGGGAGGCTTCCAAATCCCTGGAGGTCACTACTCACAGAATTTAATCGCGTCCTTCTTGAATGTTATCTTTTATTGGTGGGTGTTCTGGTGTGGGATTAGTAGCAATCTGAGGTCCTCGAGGATTAGAGCTTTCGAATAATCTCGGCATGTAAATAAGTGAAGACCAGGCGGCGACCTGACAGGTTAAGCACTATCGAAAGCTCTTATAGCAAAATAGGGACGCTTAGGCTAGCTAAGCGATCCAGGGATTTCCTTTGGTTAGCATCACGTGACTCGCTTGGATCATGGAGGATCATATGAGCCAGTGTGAGCCGGATCAGATGGATCGTGGTGATCCATATGATCCATAGAGAACGAAGGTTCTATATAAGACTGGCACGTCTGCCATTAGATAGGAGCTTCGTGCTCAACTTAGTTATCAATCTTATCATATTAGTTTGACATCTTTGATACAAGTAACGAGTTCACTTCCAAGTGAACAACCCGATAGTCTTCTTCTTATCATAGCATACCAACCAGCGAACACCCAGCCAAGTTTAGTTAGCCAGTTTGAGTATTCGTTACAAAGACTTACTTAGGTTTATATATTTCGAGATATTAAATAAGAATAGATTTTAGTATTTATAGTTATATTCTATAAATACTATTACTATTTACTATTATTTATTCTTTTACTATTAATCTTATAATATTAATTCGTAAAAACTCTAGTAAAAATACTATTTTACCTAAGTAATTAAAGCTATAGTTTTTAAATCTTATATAAAAGAAGCTTATCTAGAAACCTAGCTAAAATAGCTTAGAGCTATCTTTAAGGAGTAGCTACTTCCTTAAACGTTTTTTAAGGGTAGTAGTATAAGTCTTATAGTACTCACTCGTTATTTTATCTTATCTAAAGGATATAGCGTAATCGGTAAACTCTTAAAGGAATTCTTTAGTAAAGTCGCAGTAGTAATAGTATAGACTTTTATAGTAAGTCCGCCTAGGGGGATTCGCTTATTTTAGAGGGTATTATTCTCGGAAGGTAGAGGCGAATAGATTACGTAAAGTAGATCTAAAATATATATATAATTTAAGGAATATAGATTATATTATAATATATATCCTAGCGAGTTTTTAAGAGTTTTAAAATTTTATAAAATTTTAATATTCCTGCTAAAAGTACGGTAGTCTATAACACTATAGACCGGGGGTCCATAGTATAGACTCCCGTGCTCCCACTGGGCATGACCATCAGCCTAGCTACAACGCTCTTAATGCCTCAGCGCTCAACGGCTGTTCGATGTGCGGGTTCTTGGTACGGGCAATGAGCTTATATACCGGACCATATGCACATAAATGGCCCGATCAGAAGGCCTCTTGAAAGGAAGAGTCCCAGTCACGTTATGTAGTACGAAGTTCAATCAACAGAGAATCTGTTTTGAAGGTAGAGAAGCAGGAACCTTTAGAGGAGAGTGGATCCCAGACGACTGGCGTAAGCACAAGTATATCTCTGGACTTTCATTCTTTAATTAATATACGGCAGTTGAGTACTGTACTTCCGAAGATACGTACACTGGTGCTGAAGACATCCTTCAGTGTCAGGCTCGCCTAATTTGCCGCTGGGCAGATGTATGCTTTGATTCTCATACAAAATGTGGGAAGGGTAGTGGATTCCTTCCCACTCGTCTGATTGACGTGGGAATGTCAAATAGCATGAAATTATACCTCGTCAAAACTTCAGACGTTCTTATTGATGATCGCCGGTATTTAGCTCTGAGTCATTGCTGGGGATTGGCTATGACAGACACAGCACGAACTCTTAATGCGACTATTGAGAAGAAGCAAATCTCGATTCAAGAAGACGAACTGACTCGTACGTTCCGAGACTTTATCAAAATTGCTTGAAATCTTGGAGTTCAATATGTGTGGATCGACAGCCTCTGTATTATCCAAGACGACGCTGCTGATTGGGTGAAAGAAGCGAGTCAAATGGCCTCCGCCTATTCAAACTCATACCTGACGATTACGGCATCGAGTTCGGCAGATGGAAATGGAGGTTGTACGGTTTGAGACTCAGAAAGGTCTCTGGGTCCAGTGGACGTAGACTGCGTCCCTGTGGAGGCGGACTTCAAACCAGCTACGACAAAGTATAAATTTCGCGTTTGGACTAGGAATCCTTCGCCGACAACCTTCAGTAACGATCCTTTACAGACCCGCGGGTGGACTCTGCAAGAACGTGAGCTCTCACCCCCAGTGGTGTATTATTGTAAAGATACGATCAGGTGGCAATGTCGATGCTTGCATGCTTCTCTCGAATTTCCGTGGGATGACTCTCTAACCTTCAACGGCGAATCGAACTTTTGACGAAGAGCAAACAGTATTTCTTCCTATGCCAGGAGTCAATCGATCGACCACGCGGCCTACAGACCCCAGAACAAAAATCGCATTGTCATGGATGAACCTCATAGTCCAATATACCAACAGAAATTTGACAAAACATAGCGACATTCTCCCTGCCATCTCTGGTATTGCTCGAACAATAGCAGGAAAAACTTCAGGTCAGTATTTGGCAGGCTTGTGGAGATCATATTTCCAGCACTGTTTGCTTTGGAAGACCGAAAGGGGTAGTGAAAATGGGTTGCAAACACACACAAAGCCATTTCACAACACAGCACCGAGCTGGTCTTGGGCATCGATGAAAGGCAAAATATCCTGGCCAATGGGTAACCATTACTACTACAACCCAGATCCTGACCCGGAATTCATACCGAAGATACTGGATATCGCTATAGAGCCTCTTGGGTCAGATCCCTACGGCATGCTCAAGGAAGGAATTCTACATATTGAGGGGAAAGTGGCTGTGGCATATTCGGTCCCTGGTGAAGAATTAAAGTCGCCTATCACCCGAGAGGACGTAGGATGGGTTTCTTATGATATCCCACTTTGCTCTGACTGTGCTCCAGCTGGTCAACCAAGAATCGTGTTCTTGATGTGTTGTCTAAACGACAAGAAGAGCGATGGCGAAGAATTCTGGACTTATGCAATCGTGCTCCAACCGGTACTCGATAATACTGAAGGTATTCCTGGAACCATGCGAAGGATGGGCTTGGCATCACGGATCAAGCCCGAATTTTGGAATAGCAATACAACACTGATGCAGTTGAAGATCTGTTGAATAGAGTGGGAGTTCACGATAAGTGTTGAAGGCAGTCTCCTTATGCGCGTAGAGGAAGGCATACATAGGAATGAACGAACAGAGCGGGTTTGCGATGCAGTTACTTTCAAATATGAGATAGCAAGATGAAATGAACGAAAGGGCAGAGGCTTCATGATGTGGCCTGTGTATGTATTTATTGAATTTAAAGTTTGGACAGGAAGTAAAGGCAGACTATAAACGGAGAGAAACCCAGTAAGGACAGGAGGAGCAGCTTGTTATGGACCTTCATAACGCTCTGTGAATGCGGTGTTGAGTTTGGGTCTTCATCCAGACCACTGTGTTGCAAGTCAGATATCATACCCAAAGCCAGATTCATTTCCAGTTATAGAACTTACCACCGCAGGTCCTGGAACGGTATAGTTATGGAAGTTATCATAGATATTCACAACATAACCTGGCTCTTTCCCATCCATGAAACCCGGAATTGAAACAAGAGGAGCTGGTTTTCCCGTTCCACCGTTGGTGACAGTGACTTGCGCACAACTGATGTAGAATTGTGGGATCCCAGCTGGGTATGGGTTGTGGATTGCAAGTTGTTGGATGCGGATGAGGTAGTCGCCTGAGGGGAGGGAAGAAGGGATTTTGGATGAGTAGGTTTCTGGAAGTTCAACGTTAGTTTTCGGGTAAGTCTAACAAAAGAGGCGAGTGGGCCAGAGAATGGCAAGCTTACGAAGAAGAGACCACGCTGAGTTTCCTGAGCTATCAAAGGTAGGACCAATATCCTGGATCTTGAACCATACGGCTCCAGACCCATCGAATGATGCAGCTGTTTTACCGCTTGGGACCTTTGCCATGTAGAAACTTGTCGGCCCTTGGTGGTAGATTGCTTGATTAGCGGTGAGTGAGAAGGTGTCTCCAGCTTTCATGGTTGCTGTTTGAGTTGATGCTCCTGATGTACCCCCCACATTGCAACGGAGATCTGTCGAAGTCAGATCTGTGACAGGGGAGTTGCTTGGGACTGGTCGGATGAATTGATTGATGGAGTACTTGGTGGAGGTGGTTAGCTGTTGGAAGATGTCTCGTCAATGTGTTAGTAAAGTCACATTCTGATGAAGACGGGTTGGGTTTACAATGTCCAGAGGCCTGGCTCATAAGAGCCGAGAGGGCGAGACCTAAAGATACTATAGACTTCATTGTGGAAAGAGTTTGAGAGGTTAACTTTAAAGAGATACAGAGCAAAAGAAGAGAGATGAAAAAAAAGGCCCCAAGAGAGAGGAGCTACTTATGTACTCGCTCTCTGCTAAAGAAAACATGCTTCTAGATGGAATTCCACCATAATAGCAATAATACCCTTGTATTCAACCTTGACCCATCGGAATCTTCTTGTCTTTGACTGGAGGGCTTTCACGATGTGCTTGTGCGACGGTGTGGAACACCCCATCATTCGAGCAAAATCTTTCATGAAATGGGCGCTATCCATTCCAGGAGACATAGTCCGAACTTAGAGGGGTAGTTGAACACGAAGAATAGCACTCGCGGGTAAAGATATCGGGAATCTGCCCCAAGCCTTCGTGGTGGCTTCTGTTAATGACAACATCGTGCGAACCAAATAATCAGAAGCACTTTCTCCATCACGGGCCCCTGAATACAAGTGTTTTGCGTTTGAGAGACGAAAAATGAGAAATCCCACAAGCGGTTTCTCAGTCCAAAACTGCCACTCTGAATGTGATGGAGCTGTAGTGGCTTGAAAAATAGATTGACCATGCACAGGTTCAATCAGGATGTACTTTGGAGCGGGTCGAGGGATCTTGCAGAAGCCTTGAAACATCCAGCTGGATAAACGGAAGCAATTCAGCCAGTACCGAATAGATGAGCGAATCGTGGTAGTAACTTGGCACCTCGTGGGATCGCGCAGAAATTGAACGGAGCAATCAATCCGTTATGACAAATAAATTGGAAGATGACGAGGACTCGGAACGTGTCGTCCAGTGTTTTGAATTGGGTTTAGGGGCAGGTGAAAGTCGCCAGAGTCACGTGAAAACTTCGATAGTTTATCTTGACATTTGTAAACGAATTTGACGAGAAGCATATGCAAGAAAGGAAATGACTCTAATTCGAATTGAAAGAATTATTGAATTCTATAAGTGAAATTGGAACAAAATTTTGGAAAAGTCTCGTGACGCGCTAGATCAAAGTAGGCAGGTCAACCGAACATCACTTCCAAGGTTCAACCGCACCCCCTCTCTCACACATCACAACCGCAACACATACAAAGGTCACACTCATGCCGCCACCGCAACATCCATCTTCAGGTCTCCCTTCCAGTGGTTGAGATATGTCAACATTAGCTTCTCATCAAATTCCGGACAGTCCAGGCCTCCTGGATAATCCGACAGAGCTTGGTCGGTGTTGTAAGTCTCATAAATGGGCATGTGCTCGTACAACTCCCATCTTGTCATGCCGTTGTGAATCTTCTCCTTCAACATAGGCAATAATGGCTTGAGCCGCTCGTCGGTGCTATTGGAGAGGATCTGAATCCATTCACCGTATGGGATGCCTTTCAAGTCCGGGAATCCATTGTGATTGACAAGACGAAACGTCTCATTCATATCTACAGATGCGTTCCGGTCCTTAGGTACGATATGGTAAGCATGTCCAAGATATTTGTTTTTCGCCATATGCAGGATTGCTGAAGTGACATAGTCGACGGTGATGAACTCCTTCCTTTGGTTTGGAAGGAGGGGATAACAGCCCATCTCCAGACATGCAGACATCAATCTGCTGAAAAAGTCATCGGGATTGCTGACGCCCGTCACGCTATGGCCAGTGATGAAACCAGGTCGATATATTGCGACGGGGAATCCACGTCCAATTGCCGTCCACAGCATTTGCTCAACCACCCATTGGCTTTGGGCATATCCATGGTCATACGGAAGCGCTCGTAGGTGAGGGAGCATACACGCATCCTCGGGGACTCGTGAAGTTCCAGTGAACCTACCAGTTGGCCCGAAGCAGGAAATGCTGGAGACATACTGGAGAGACTTGGGCTTGCCTGCAGCCACGAATCGGAGGATGTTGACACTACCAATCACGTTGGCGGGCCGATGGATAGAATATGGCTGCGTGTAATTGACATGAGCCCCAAGATGAAAGACGACACTGGCCCATTCAGCGAGTTCTTCAAATCTTTCCTGTCCAAATCCAAGGGTCTCATCCTCCAAATTCCCGGGTAGTGGTAAGATTTTGTGGGCAGCAGCTGCACGCCAGAGCCCATATTTCTCCAGACATTCTCTAATACGAAGGAAGCCAGCTTCCTTATCTTTCGCTCGAACTAAGCAACCAACCTGGCGAACTTCAGGCATTTCGAGGAGTTGGTGCAGGAAAAAGGCTCCTACGAAGCCAGTGACCCCAGTTGCAAAAATTCTTCCTTCAGTGTCGCGTCGCCAATCCACAGGTTCTCTCTTTGACGGCACAAGGTGTTCAGCAAGCCTGCTATCCGCCAGCCATAAGTCTGTTTCGTCCTTGATGGCGCAAACCTTCCCATCTTTATTCTCATCAATGATTTTAGCAAGCGCACCCAGACTTGAGTTCTCGTACAAGGCCAATGAAGAAACCTCGATTGCGAAGGTTTGCCGTATTTTGTGAATGAGCACTGCGGCTTGCAAAGAAGTTCCACCTTGGGTAAAGAAGTCGTCATGTTCTTCAAAGGTCCCTACCGGACATGCCAGAATTTCCATCCAAAGCTGCTCCAATCTTGACGTCGTCGTTTCACCTGCCCCTTTGGATCTTCGCGTCACTGGTTGTGCCTTCCATCCCTCCAAGTACAGTTCTGTCAGCTTCTTCCGATCCACTTTGGCATGTGCATTCCAAGGCAATCTGTCGATCAACTCTATCTTTGGCACCATGTAATGAGGCAATGATTCTTTCAATTTGTTCATTGCAATGTTGATGGTGTCCTTGCTTTGTGCATTAGGAACTGCGTATGCAACCAAAAGACCACCCCCGCCTTCTTGTGGGGATTCGATCCTAAGAGCAGTGGCCTCTGAGAAAAGTCCAGTGTTCAACATCCCTACCTCAACCGCCTCAAGCTCAACACGAAACCCACGGATCTTTACTTGGTGGTCTCGACGTCCAACATAGTAAACAAGGCCACCCTTTCTCTTCACGATATCTCCTGTCCGATAAAGTTTTGCATCTCCGACTTGCACAAATGCCCGGGCGTTCTTGTCTGGGTAATTTAAATAACCGCGGGAGACACCAGCACCACCAATAAGTAGTTCCCCTGGCTCCCCATCTTTCACCGTTTCCATAGACTCATTGACGATATGTATTGTGGTTCTTCCAATAGGTTTACCGATGCTCACTGACTCGTCTTGTGTGTCCGACATTGATAGCTCTTGGACTAAAGAAAAGACGCATGTTTCGGTCGGGCCATATGCATTGAATAGGTGCTTTGGTGGCCCGGCCGCCAAAATGGTCTTCAAAGCTTTGGGGTTTGCCGCTTCTCCTCCAATCGTCATAATTCTGAGTCCAGAAAACGCCGTGGGACAGGACACTGCTGCCAAATTGAAAATTGCTTGTGTTGACGCCCATACTGTCGCCTTGTATCGCTTAAGTGCTTCAGCCATAGCATTCGGATCCAGAAGCACATTTTTCGGCATAATCACGATGCTTGCACCCCGCAAAAGTGGAGCCCATACATCAAACAGCGCAACATCAAAACTTGTGTTGTTGACGTGCACTACGATATCAGACGGATCGAGGGGGACGAGAGGAGCATGATATACGACCTGAAGGATTGATCGAGCCAAGATTTGAACTGGTTTTGGTGCCCCTGTCGTGCCAGATGTATGGATTAAGTGTGTGCAATGGCCGAGGTTTGTTTCGACAATTTCCTTGGTCTCTTTTGAATGTCCGTTTTGAAAAAGTTTGTTCTCATCAACTATGATGTGGCGCAAGGAAACCAGGCGATTCTGGTTTCCTTCGTCAACAAGCACATTTCGTGCACCCACTCGTGTGAGGCGTTCTTCCAGTTGATTATCAGGAAGTAATGGATCCAAAGTCACACAAGTCCCTCCAGCATATAGGACAGCAACCTGGGTAATGATATCTTTAGTACCAGGGTTGACGAGTATTCCCGTGGGTTCTTCTCGTCGATATTCATGTTGACGAAGCTGCGATGCCAAGTCCAGTGCTTTCAAGTGAAGCTCGCCGTATGTGATGCTATCATCGCTCTCTTTGACAGCAATTGCTGAAGGATTGATTTGTGCTTGACTATGAAAAAGTTGACCGAGACCATGGTCTCTTTCGAGCAAGTCGTCGTATCCTTGTAGTGATACAGAAGTTCTTGAAGGCATTTTCAGGGGAAAAGTTATGCAGCACGTATATCACTGGGAGAAGATGTTGAATTGCCAGTTTCATAGCGTTCACTCTGATACTTGAGTTATATTTCTTAGAAGCCGACCCAGCGTCCGAGGCAATTTTGATTTTCTTCCGAGCAGTGTGTACACCTTCTGTCCTCCGTTACGAATTTGGATATCTGGCTGTTCTGAGTTACAGCATTCCCGCTCCGTTGGGCAAAGAACACCGCTGAGTTCTCTTACCAGCCCCTCCATATTCCATAATGTGCCGGGCCATGTGTTCTGTAATGCTCTCCTGCACGACGCTTGCTGATCTGCTCTGCTTCGGCTTTGGCTCATCTTACTTCTTCCCTTTACGAGGTTTACCAGTACTTTATGCGAGCTGAAATATCTCAGCAAAGAGTTTGCAATAAGTACGTTTTGGCGTTCTTGGTTTCAGCCCACCTCCCTTTGCCTCGTGATTACCTTGAGGCTCAATTGACATGTTTCATTCATCGATCCAAGGCGAATTCTCATACTTGAAAAGTCACCATTTCCTGGACCTCTTTCGTCTAGAGGTCTATGCAGTGGCAGGTGACGATACTGTAATTGTACACTAAATGTGCTCCTCTTATCACTTTGCATACTGCCTTATGGCGTACCTAGTGTACCTCGGTCCTCGGCCACATTGAACAGCAGCAGCCTTGGGGTTGTACGGGCCGCATCATGGCATACAATATATGTCGTGGTCATTGTGTACCGACGTATCAGTTACAATATTTTCATTTGCCAATTTTGAAACATGAAGTCCTCGTTTCTGCAAACAATTAAACCCTTGTAAATCCCACACGCGTCAACACGAAACTATGACATGCCAATACTGTAGTCACCGCTCTAAACTTTAAATGTAACGTTTAGCAACATATCTCGGCTCTCACTAACTGAATTATTATTCCGCAAAGCTTAAGCGACCCTTGGTTGGAACAAGATGATTACCGCCATCGGAAAGCCAGTGACTGCTTCCTTGAAAATCTGAGTCGCGGGGGCACAGAATGCAGAGTTCCGTCTAAAATTGGAGATCGTTTTTCTCCGCATTGAACGCCCAATCAATTGAACATGAATCAATATCTATACTTGAGAGGAAATCCAACCTGCTCCAGTAGCACCCCACCCGCAGCTTTGTACTCAATCTTCGTCCAAAGTCATACTGGAACCGCTGATCTTACTCAGGTGGGATAGGGACTTTATGGATGCTCCCAATACCAAGCCATAAGGCGTTCTCAGCAATGCGGCGCTCTTTCTATTTCTATATCTCCCCGAGCACATTAGTGCCAGGTATAATGTCGTGATATCTGCAGGAATGCTAGCAGTGGCTTGCACAACTGTACTGATTCTGTGCACTTTTCATGTTCTGTTTCCCTCTGTTATCCTTTTGTTTTCTGCAGCTCCAAGACGACGATGACCGGAATTTCCCTTCATCTGAATACTTGACCGCTGGAATCAGACACCACGTCGTATTCAAGCTTACTTTCATTACGCCAATGAAACTAGCTGTATGATCCGACATGGGTGACTCTAAAGGAGATAGTATGTATTCAAGTCATAATAATGAGGGTTTTGCTGACTTGACGTTCCGCCAGAAGTCTTTTTGATCAGGGAGGTATGATTTCAACATTCGGCCATCTTTTTTGTGAAAGACTGCTAAGCTCACGAAGGAAGAAGAGCCTACCTTAGGTATTTCGCTTGGACTAGCCTTCGTATGAGTTCCCCACATACTTACTCTCTTTGATTGCAGATGGGCTGCACGAGATATGTCGGATCTTGGGACCGCCCGAAGGTAAGGGGTTGCATTGGGCTCCTATAAAGAAGACACGGCGTGTACTGGACCTGGGATCTGGTACGGGTCAGTGGATCAAAGAGTTTGGTGAGTTTGAATCATTGACGAGCGATCAGATCAGATGATGGCTTACATTTTAATAAGTGCAGTTTTATGATGTTGAAAAGGTACCAAATCTTTCATGGGTATGTTGAGAACACGGTTTAATCATCCATAGATTGTCGGATTAGATCTAGAGTCTCCACGGTCAACGGAGTAAGTAATGCTTGCCACTGCGACGACAAGAAAACTGCTTACTAGAAAGTCTCCCGCCTAATTCTTCCCTCGTAAAAGGTGATCTAGAGAGTCCTTGGCCTCTTGATGAGAAGTTCGATTTTGTACACGCGCGTTTTCTTGCAGGCTGTCTCGAAAAATGGCCTCAGTTCTTTCAACAATGTTACGAGTATGTCTTCCCTCTTGATGATCAGGTAACTCTACGGACTAAAGTCACTAAATATTGCGAATAGTAAACTCGAGCCAGGTGGCTGGTTTGAAATAGTAGACATTTTAATCACCCCGTACTCAGACGACAACACATTGAGTCCACACTCCAACACCGTCGTGTGGAATAAGCTCCTCTCAGAGATCTCTGAATCCGCTGGTAGACCAATGGCCATCACTTCTGAGTACGCAAATCTAGCGACTTCTGCTGGTTTCAGGAATGTGAAAGAGGTCATTTCAGGGGTCCCCGGGAAGCCATGGGGAGGGGAGGGGATAGATAGGAGACTGGGGACGTTGAGTGAAGATGTTCATAGAACAGTTAGTGAGAGGCTTGGTTTGGACTATCTGGTTACCACGGCGGGAATGGACGAGAAAAAGGTGAGGGGAAAGTTAGAGGGTGTGTTAGAGGAGCTTGGAGATGAGAGAATTCATACTAAGTGGCCTTTGTGAGTGTCAATTTAGGGAAGGCTTTTGGGGAGTTACTAATGGTTTGCAGTTATGCTGTGTTTGCGCAGAAGCCTTTAGATACTTAGAGAGTAATGGAGGGGAATTGCTAGGGCGTGAATAGATACTGAGAAATAGCGTTTTGGATGCGAGTTTAATGGTATTGGTACATCTGATGGCTGATAATGTACTTCATTATTGCAATCAGGCATTATTCTTTTTATTAGCAAAAATAAAATGCTGGAATAATTCGTTTCATATTTTCACCTATATCTTTCAGCTTTTTAGCTATCTTGATGTGAAAAGATTTAGTTTAAGTCAGCGCGACTAACCAAGCTACCAGCATACGAATTCCTTTGTTATATTAAGTTAGGCCAATTTGAAAATTGTGTCCCCCCAGGCAACTCTTTGTCTCACCCAAGCAGCTGGGCAAGATGGACCGGAAAAATAGGCCGTGGGTCAAATCCGTTTCTGAAATCATCTTATCATTTCTATCTCATGCCGCCTATATCCTACGATGGTTATCAACAGCAAACTAGCTAATCTGAACGCTCAAATCATATTCTTTGCAACGGCTCTCTCAAACCAGCTCTCCAATGTTTTCAATCTCAGTTCCTCTCCACTCTTCCCACAAGCATGTGCGCCAGCAGCCTTAAGAGCTGTAGCGGTATCCTTCTCTGTCACCTCTCCAAAATAAATCCCGCCTGTGGTTTGAGTCAATCCAAACATGAGTTTGACATCTATAAGTTGTGGGATATCATGCGTGTTGAAAGCCTCCCAGGAAGAAAGCAATGGCACGAAACGTGATTTCCTTCCGCTCACTAATGTATTTGTTAACATACGAAAAGGTGCTAAGCTTAGTCATGATACTAACCAGCTGCAAAAGCCCGCGTCATCTCCTCAAAACTCTTCACATCACTCAATCCATGAATATTCTGCCCATTCCACCTCTCAGGCTCCAAGAATATCCCATGAGCGATATCCCCAAAGTCATCAGTGATACTTAACCACGGAACATCTTCTTTACCACCCCAGAATGGCACATTGAAGGTTAGGAAACCTTCCGCATCTGGGAGATGGGGGAATCCTCCGAAGATGGGGGCTACGGCCTTTTCGAGGAAGTTCTCCATGAACCAACCTGCGCAGATGGGTGTTATGGTGCGGAATTTGTGGAGAGATTGGGCGTAGAGTTGGACTTTGTTTTTCACTGTGAAGGGGAGGTGTTAACTAGAGTATGAGTTGGGGAAGAGTGGAAAGTACTGTTCATGGCTTTCATGTTTACTTTTCCATTTGTTAGGTCTGTGCATGAGGGGCCAGAGCTAAATACGAGGTGTTGAACTCCAGCGATGATAGCGCTGTCGATTATATTTTTGCCCATGTCGAATTCTGAGGGGCTGTTTTCGTCTGACAGTACCTTTACTCAGTCAGTTTTTGGAGTATTTTGGACTGATATAAAGATCAACTTACGAACTCATCAGAATTCATATTTACAAAAGCTCCCCAAGCACCTTGAAAGGCTTGGACGAGAGATTGGCTTTCCCAAGCATCTGCCCTGACAACTTGAGCCCCCAAATTGATGAGTTCTTGACTCTTCTCTGAGCTGGGGTTTCTCGAGATGACCCGCACGCTGAACTCATGAGGGTTCCGGAGGAGTGAACGGACGACCGAGCCTCCTTGATTACCGGTTCCACCATAGACAGTGATAAGTTTCGTCGTCATTTTTGCGGTAGAATGAGAGGTTTCGTGTGGGAATTCCTTGAAAAGTGGTTTCTTTCGCTTAGGCTGGTGTGGTAAAGGGGTTGCTAGAAAATCTAGGTGAATAATGTCCCTCCTTCCTAAGCAACCCTGATTGTTCTCTAGCCATACAGAACAATATTATCTTACCGTATAGCACCTCACAACTTTCGACTTTCGTTTCCCGCTTTGCATTCATGGGTGTCACCATATTTCGTGATCGGCTTGTCTGGTGTAAGCTGGCATCGTATTGCAAAAGAAGAGAACTATTCACGGCCTTGACTGACCCCCGCGTCAATATTCCGCCCTTCAATTCTTTCCGGTGTAATACATGTCATGTTGGATTCGTCATTGTCCCCTCCTCATCTATCACGACATTTTGTTGAAATCAATTGACCAATCAACAAGCCAAGATAGTTTGTGAGACGCGCAATGCAGATCCCCATATTTTCATGCACATTTTCTTTTCAGGTATCTCACTCAGACCAACCCCGAGAACTGAAGATGTCGTGTATGGCACACTTTCATATCGCAGATTTCCGGCGGGCCGCTGTGAAACTGGAAGCTAGGCGGTGTGTTTGTTGACGAGTACGGTGCAAGGGTACATCCGCTGTCTGTTCATGTACAACCTTCTGTACGGAATGAGCCGACTGGATTCAGGCACTTTGTGCCACGTGTGGAACGTGCAAGATCATCGTCTCCCGAGAAGAACAGACGTAGGTATCCGGCATCGGTGGGGTGATAGAGGGAAGGAAAAACGTGCCCATTTGCATGGCTGTAAGGTTGTGGTGGGAAATTGCAGATTTAATTTTCGTGAGATCGGGAGAGTGGATTGACTGATGTCAGAGTATTGGCATGATACGGGGGATGAGTGTTATGGGATGTTTGCTGGGGATAAGCAATCAAGAAATTATGAAGCCCTATGGTGACCTTACATGGTGCAGAATGAGTAGAATTTGGATTCAAATGGTGTTGTTGGCTCTGTATAGATTTCTCTTGTCTAATTCCAATGCTATCCTTCCTCCGAAATAAATTTTCCCAATTGTTATAGGCCAGAAGTATCTCAGGCAATTGCCTCAACACCAGCCTCACTGACCCAATCTTTTGTCACTAAAAGTTGAAATAGGCTACCTTTTATCCCGTCGAGATCATGCATTAAGCTCTCGCTCGCTTAGCCTTTTCATAACTTCACTATCAAAATGGGGTCTTCACTATGGTTAGACACGAAGTTAATAAATCCTTCTGATACGATATATGCTTGACAGATGCAACCATAGTTATCTTTGAGGAGCTTCTGTTGTTCTGTAACGACTATTATTGATACCAAGAAATGACAAGTTCTCAGTTTTGCATAAATTGATTAACTTTTATTTGCTAGTCTTTATATTCTTGAAACTGAGAAACCGTAAAAATAGGTCTAGTCCTCCATCTAAATCGAGCCATCGAACTTTTAATCGAACTTTCTATCAGCAATTTTAATCCATAAGGAATGCGGCTCCCAAATTCCCATCTCATTCAAGGTCAAAGGATCCCTGTTTCCTGGCATTGATTCGATGTCGAAATTCCAAATCAATCTCGTGAGAATAAATGTGATATGAGCAATTGCGAAACTGTTCCATTGTCATCAGCACAGCGGCCAACACGCTATATTTACAGGAAGTGTAAAGTAATGACTTGAAAAGATGTGTATGTAAGACTTACTGGAGACCAATGCAATTTCTTTTTCCAAGGGAGAACGGGAAGAATACCCCACGATTATCATTTTCAAATCGTTTGTCCCCTAACCAGCGCTCAGGGTGGAACTTTCTGGGCTCAAAAAAGTTCATTGGCGAGAGACAGGCGGACATTTGGGAGGCGGATACCCATGACTGTATTATTCTTCAGCATTATAACTGGGATTCAAAGATGGATACGAGAAAGAACTTACCCCACCAGGAACGAAATGACCATCAATAAATCGACCTCCTTTCGGTACAATCCTTGGAAGTCCGACGGGGACAGCAGGATGAATCCTCATCGTCTCATCAATAACAGCTCTCACCAACGCCAACTTCTTCGCCTCCGCGATGTCGATCTCGCTATCACTGGCAAATCTTCCCCTCACTTCCTTGACTAATTTCTCCATAACGCCCGGGGTATGAGTGCTATAATACAAAGTTGCCGCAATAGTACTGGCCGTCGTTTCGCCCCCGGCAGCAATTAGCACATTGAAACTATCGAACAACTCTTCTTCGTCTAGACCCTTTTCATAGAAAGTCAACCAGTCCTTCTTCGTACTCGGGTTCTCGATGCGTTTCTTGAGGGTTTTCTTCGTCCAATCAAGATGTCTAGTGAACTTGCCCTCCAACCATTCAGGAATGAACAGCTTCTCAAGGATTTTATGGTAGGGCTTAAGTCGATAAGCAGCTTGTACCCACGTAGCATGAGTGATAACCCCAAAGATGTTTGTAACCCAAGGATGTTCCTCGCCCTTCTCCACACATCCAAAAGGCTCCCCAAAGCTCAATGCAGACAGTAGATCAAAAACGATATACGTAGCCCAGGCATCAATATCCACAACTCCATCCTTCGTCGGAAAGTTCCCTTGCCCATTTCTTCTATCACGCAATGCGCGGATAAATCCATCAACCTGATACTTAATCGTAGGTTCCACCTCCCTCACACTACTCTCACTGAACGCTGGGGCGAGGATTTTCCGATAGCGACCATGAGCTTTCGATTGAGCGAAGAAGATATTCTTTGACTCGTGCGTTCCTTGGATGTATGCGATGGGATTCTTTTCATAGACATGATCGGTTCTTAAACGACCGCCGTAAATCTCATTGAACGCCGTTAGGGTGTTGAAGGAGAGCTCTCTTGGGCCGGTACGGATGACTGGGCCGTATTTGTCATGGAGTTCGAGGGTTCTGCGGCAGTATTCACCGGTGATGAGGAGATAAGAAGTATAGAGTTCTGAGATGGCGGCGATTCTACTGCCGGGAATGTTTCGGAGGGGATGGAGGTAGAGGTTGTAGAGGAATATTAGGAGGTGTGTTGTTATCCACTAAAGAGAAATGTCAGCCAGCTGGGCTTTTGGTGGTGAAATGATGGTTTCCACTTACTCCACCAACGAGGTATCCCAGTATCATCAACGGACCCATGGTTCCTGTAGCTCTTCAAAAACTAAATGGAGGAGAGCAAACGAGGTTGAACTACACTTGATATGAAAGTATTCCGGATTTAGACAAGACTCATGGGAAAATAAAAGTGATTGTAGACGAGTCTTTAATCAGAATTAGAATCTCGTAGAATCCAGAGATTATGAAAATATAACTGGTAATCGAATTTCATCCTTGGCTCTAGTTTCCCGAGGAGGCCTCGGTGGCGCCATCGAGAGAGCTTACAGCTCCAGCCGCAAAGAAATGACTGTACGAGTGTGAGGGGGACGAATGTTCAAGGCCCGAGGCAGTTCTTATTATGTGTAATGTTGATCGCGATATTCCCGATGGCTGGTGACACATAACACACCCGACGTGAATTGCCTGAAAAATAGAAGCGAATGGAAAATTTTACATTACACCGTTGGGCGAAAGAAAGATGTGGCCAAGTCTAAGAGCTCTCGTTTCCAAGGCCATGATATCGACGGGGATGTTGCGGCTGAATACCCTTATTAACATCGTGTCATGTAGCCGTCTGTTCGCAGTCTACCAAGTTAGTTCTTACATTGGTATTCATGTTCAAGTGTCTTCCACGCAACTTCTTTTAATTCTTTCCCTCTAGAATTTGCTGGTATAATTAGAGACTTGTATACCCTTGGTGTTTAGGAACAGAACACACTGATTCCTAAGTACGATAGTTTTCAATCATTCTGAGACCAGTACAATGTAGAAAATAATAGGAAACTCAGTCCATGACCTTTTGCACGCTCAACAAATTCCTGGGCTTACTAAAAATAGTCCTTCCTTCTTAAACAGTCTGTGCCATCTCGCTTAACCGCCCCTTTTCCCACAGCGACTTCAACCACAACCGTCTATTTTCCAGGATAAGTTGTTATATTGTATCATAGAATAGGGCAACGTTACCGGTAGTTCTTCTATAATGTGAAAGTGATTAATTAGGAAAGCCACCAAATATTTCTCAACATCACTCAAATTTGATAGACGTCTATAAGGGAGCACTCGTATGCTTAAAACACTCCCAGTTCTTCAATCAAATAGAGTAGACCCTCATAAATACCAATAGGAATTTTCACTAAACACATCTAGTAGACTCGCTAATTGACAGCGTACTAGTAACGTCAACCTTAAACGAATTCAAGTTTATGAAACCTCTTCGTATCGGCTACCAATAGCTGATAAACCTTTTCCCACTTACTAACACCACCCTACGACAATATCATATCATGTATACCGCCTTTCCAGATGCACAAGATATTTAAGAACATTATACTGTAGTCCACAATAGAAAAAAATGGTTGCCATTATCTATGAGTTCTCCCCTGAGTCCAAGGATACATAGATAGCAGTAAAACCAACATATAACATACCAAACCCCCATTCATTCATGACGTATATCATACCCAATTTTCCGCGATTCCTATCGTATCCTACGTCCATAACATCCAGAGTCTCCTTACCGCATTACTTTCCCCATCCACATCCACCTCAAATTCTTCCGTCAAAGTACCATTCTACCCACACAATAGACCTCAAATTAACAGAAGAAGAAGAAGATAAAAACAGAAGTGGTGGCAGCCACTCCGCCCAATCAAAAACATCCCATCTAAGGATCAATCAATCTCACCCAAAGCCCCAGCGCAGACCAAGCTGTTATAATAATTGAGCAGGCGTTTTTCAACATTCGAATCCTCCTCGATTCTGTTCCAGCAGTCTCTTTGGATGGAGAAGATGTAGAGCTCAAGCTTGGGGGGCCCGTATCTATACCACCAGACGAGGTGTTTGAGGTGGTGCCTGTGGTGCTGTTAGTCCCATTTCCACTCGAAGAAAATTTAGAGGAGGGTAGGATATCTAAAGGGGATAGATGAGGCCATAACAAAATTTGGGGTGGGTTTGGAGTAGGGGGAACTAACCATACGTATTGATTTACTCCAGTATTCTGGTTCATCTCAATAGCGACTTCAACCAAAACATTCAAGGTTTCCAGGTTCTCAAATTTCGTGACTGTGGCAGCGAGTTGCTTGGTAAAGTGGAGCTCGTTAACACGGAAGGCCTTGGTGACAGTCAATGGATCTCTATATGAGATATTGACCTTCAAGAACGTGGTGGTCTCATTGTATTGAGCCAAGACTGTCAAGATCGTGGGATCAACTTGGGAGAGATATGTGGTTAGCGTTTTTTATATGTACGGGCGGGGGTATAGCTTAAGGTGTGTGTATATGGACTTACTGCACTGTGTCTCTTCGCCTGGATTTACGATACATGCCGCTGCGGGGTGCTTAGCATCGATGATTACCTCCAGGCTCTTTCCATCGTCTTGAATTGTGAGTGCAGGGTGGGTACGTGGTGGAGCTGGCTGGGTTGTGAGATGCTCGGTGGTTGCCTCGATAGCTGCTTGCTTTGCAGCTTGGTTCTCGGCACGGGATTTGTTCTTAGAGAAGCGGGCCATTTTGATTGCAGGCTGCAGGTGGTGTAGATGGGATTTGTGTGGGTGTTAAGTTATTGTAGGATTTGGAGGTTGATAGATGGGCTCCGATGCGCCTATAGCGAAATGCTGAAATTTCTGCAGTGGCTGGATGTGGTGGATGATGGGTGCTGTGTGCTTGTTGAAAATCGAAGTTCTCAGAACGATGTTGAAGGGGATCAGAAGGAATAGCAGGAATAAGACCTAGGACAACCTAGTTTTAACTATGCCAGGACCAAGGCTCCATACAGAATTACATTCACTTGAATGAAAACAATCTACAAAGGGAAACACGCTGGAAACACAAGAAGATTCCGAATAGGGACTACCACGGGTTGGTGAATAGCAGAAGGCTTTTATGATGACGTATACCTATAGGGGGTGAATGTGAGACAGATTGACATAAATACCAGTGAAGATGGAACTGTCAAGCATGTAGGTGTGAATATGAATAAAGAAAATCCTAAAGGTATGGTGGTTGAGTTAAGATGCTACTGCTTCCATATACCGTGAGAAGAATGAATCTGAGGTCAAGAATGTAGGCATGAAAAGTCATACAACAGGAAGTAAGGTTGTAAAAGAAGGATATTTAGTTCCTTCTAGTATTTGTGAATTTGGCTACTTTGTTGGTTGAGTTTAGAAACATGTGAACAGCAACCAAACTACAACAATCGCAGTTTCAAGCACAAACAAGATGACAGATGGAACCATTATGACAGAAATGCCGCCTGTATACAAGTCAACCCATTCTATTAGTATTGTTAATATTCCTTATAGAAACTGAATAACAATAAAATAATTGACATTTCTCCTTCTCATACCATGGATAATGTGGAGTATCATAAGGAAGATAAGTCTCATACTAGGCAACTAACGCCTGAGAGAGAAGGGAATTGGGCCATTGAAAAGAGAGGAGCGCAAGAGTAAATGTAATTAAGTAAAATTGAGGTTGCTAGTACCAATATTCGCTACAACATTGATTTGGATCAAAGAATTGAGGTTGATTACTTGGGAGTGTGTTCCTACATGAAATCTCATGGAGATATATAACCTCTTAACCAGCAAAAAACCACTTTTTGAACAAAGTAGTACGTATGAGCGGTATTTTAGATGATTATCCTTCTCGTAATGCAGACTTGAAAACCATAAAACATAAAAGGCAAACAGGTATAACAGCAAGTCAATGGAAACCAAGATCAACCACTCGTTTTGATCCCAGGGCAGAAAAACTTACAAGCAAAGATATATTTGGTAATCGCAACATTGATATACAAACCAACCAAAAAGCGCCGCCCTCAAAGCCCTTCCCTATAATACAACATCCTGCACTACCTCTTTCCCTTCGCCTTGACCTTCCTCTTACCCCCCTTATTCTCATGACCCACTGCTCCCCCTGCCGCCGCACCCCGCAGCGCCCCCCTCGACCTCTGGTACGCCAGCACAATATTCTGTACACTTCCCATATCATGCTTGGGCTTACGCATATATGTCAATCTTGCGCGTCTCGCCCTCTTCTCACGGCGCTGCACCACCTCAATTCCCTCCACGTTCGGACTATAGATCTTAAACCACATTTCTACACCCACTCGCGTCAACTCATTGCGCAGTAAAATGCCAGAATCGACGCCGCGACGTCGGATGTTGATACAGACGCCTGCAAAGGGGTCGCCGTTCTTGAGACGCACGAGGAGGATGTCTCCTACGTGCGCCGCTTCGGGGTTGGCTTTGGAGAAGAGGGTTGTGCGGTCGCCCGTGGGGTCGAGGAGGGCGATTTGAGATGTTACTACTGCTTGAATTGGCTCTTTGCAGTGGGCGCGAAAGGAAGAGGGTGGGGGGAAGGCTTTGATCTTCTTTTTGGCTGCTTGGAATGAGTATGGGAGCCATTGGAAATGGATAGGTAGGAGGGCAACATACGGACGAAGGGTGCGTCGATTGGTTTGGGTTTGTAGTACGTCGTCAGAGCTCGAGAGCTCACGATGGTTTTCTGTAATGGCGATGGCGATTTTCGCAGTAGTGACGTCCAGCAGCTCAAGGGCCGGAATGAGAGGGACGTCGACGCCATTGTGGTGCGTGGAGGTCGAGGTCGTTGGGGTTCTAATTGATGCACCGTCACCACCACCACCACCACACAAAAATCTGGCGAGGCTCTGATTGGCCCTGCCCTGGTCCCCTGTCCAGGTTTTCCTCAAACGATATAAATTCCATTATCTGTACCAACCATCATCTCAATTGGGGAACGCAACGCCCTCTACTCGTGCTCAAGATGAACGCCTCAATGCTGTTGCAATGTGTACGTCGTCAGGCACGGTGTGCGGTTAAATCCTCCTCCTCGAATTGGTGCTTGAAGCCCTTTCAGCAACGAACATTTTCGAGCTCCAGACCATGGCAAAAGCCAGGTAAATCGCCTCAGCTTCCAACGGCATCTACGAGCAAAATTGAAGCTAATCATATCTAGGTGTCATCCCAAAATTTACCAAGACCTCGTCCGAAGAACTTGACACTATCCTCAGCGACGTGCGCAATACCTACATCATCCCAGCCTACCTATCCGCCCAACAAAAAGAGCTCATAACCAAAGGGAAACACCGCAAAATGCTCGAAAACGACGAGGTCTTCGCCAATATCGGCGGCGAAAGAATTCACCTTACTCCAATAACGCTATGGTTTCGGAACCCCTTAGAAAAAAGCATCCTAGATGCCATAAAGAAGATGAACGACAAGGACGTGGAAAACATGATCCCTTTACTCGAGGGTCTCATGCAAACTGAATCTCGCATACCACGCGCAGTCGTTTGGGTCCGCCGAATAATCAAACTTCTCAGCGATCACAATCGAGAGGATCTGGTGCTGGCGTATGTTCGACAAGCTTCCGATACTGGCTTCCCGCTTGCCAACAATAGCCTGGTCCGAAGTGTTATGGTTTCGTTCCTTCATAAAGCCATGAAGGCAGAATGGGAACCTGTGGCCACGAAACAAGCATTATCTTGGTGTGAACAGGTTCTCGATCTGTTGGAGGATCCAAAGTATAAGCCTTCACCCCCAGAGAACGACCCACGACTTTGGTACGCGGTACTCTCGCCACCTATCTTTCTTACTGCAAAACTAGCACAACAACCAGGCGGTGAAGCGGAGAAGGAAAAGCTTGAGGACTATGTTGCTAGAATGTTGCGATTAGAGCGTCCACAACTGATTACTTTCAATGGTGATGCTCGCAAACATTTTTGGCTATTAACACATGTGACCCAATACGACGCAACACAGGCAGCACTCGAAGTCTTGGAGCCTCGCTCGGAGGTCGGGGGTGAATTGAAGAAGTTTTCTGCGCAGTTGAAGGAGCATCTCGATACATTATATAACGAACTGGTAGGGACTGAGTGGGTAGCTCAGAAGGAGCGTGCGGGTATGACAGACTACGAAAAGACGTTTGGGAAGCGCTGATCATAACAATGAGTCAACACCGGAAGATGAATGTTTGTATGTACAACATGTAGAAATCAATTCTGTTAATGAAATAGGCTTTATGGAAGCACTATGTATTTCTTCAGGTGCTTAGGTACCGCATCAAGCAATTTCTTCTCTTCTAACCACTTCTTCGAAAACAGACGATCCGCATATCTATACGCACCATCACACAGGACTGTAACAATCGTATGACCTTTCCCCAACTTCTCAGCAACTTCCTTCGCAGCCGCAACATTCAAACACGAACTGGCTCCCAGATACAAGCCTTCCTCATCCAAGCACCGATAGACCATCTCAATACTCTTCTCATCACTAATCGTCATCGACCCATCTAGCAACCCAATATCAGGTTGTAAATTATCCGTCACCCTTCCCTGCCCAATCCCCTCTGTAATACTCGAACCACTTCTCTCTGTCAGATCCCCACCCGAGCTAATATAAGAATGCAAGACACTCCCCGGCGGATCAGCAAGGTAGCATTTTACTCTCCCATCAGACTTTTCTTTTAGATGCCTCGTTACGCCTGCCAAGGTACCTCCGGTCCCAGTCGCGCAGGTAAACGCATCCACCTTTCCTTTGGTCTGGTACCAGATCTCTGGGCCGGTGGTCTCAATATGTGCCTGACGATTCGCCGTGTGATCAAATTGATTCGTCCAAACTGCATTCTCTAAACTCTCCGCAAGTCGTTTCGCTTGGTGATTGTAATTCTCTGGGTTATCGAATGCCACTGCAGGAACCGGATACACCTCTGCGCCTAATAAGCGTAGCAAATCGATTTTCCCCTGCGATTGCGTATTGGGCATGTAGATTACTAGTTTATACCCTTTGGAGCGACAGACGTGCGCCAGTCCTATCCCGGTGTTCCCCGCCGTGCCTTCGACCACTGTCCCGCCTGGCTTGAGCAGACCGAGGGACTCGAAGTGTTGCACGAGGAAGAGGGCTGCGCGGTCTTTTACTGAGCCGCCTGGGTTCATGAATTCGGCCTTGCCGAGGACTTCACAGCCGGTTTGTTGGGAGAGGGTATTCAGGCGGATTAGGGGGGTGTTGCCGATTGCTTGGGGGGCATTTGTTAGTATTGGATGGGAAGAAGAGTGGAGGGGTAGGAGGGGAACAAACCTCCTGTAAGTCCTTTTACGATGCCTTGGGATTTGGAGATGCCAATTGAATATGCGCTTGGGGCTTCGAGAGAAGCGGTGCGCACAGCGGTGGTTGTGAACTGCCGTATACTTGATCGGAGCATTTTGTGGGTTTGCAATTGAGTTGTTATTTACTGAGTTGGAGTAAAGTACGAGGTCAAGGTTTCTTTGAGCTTCATAATCACGTCACTACCCCTGTGCCCAGACTTTCGAGGGTGTGGGGGAGGTGGCTTTCTTATCGTTATCGCCGATGGGACGATGCCGTTGCCGTTGCCGCTGCCGCTGCCGCTGCCGATGCCTCCGACACAATGCCGACTCAACGCCGAGACGATGCATGGCAACCAAAAACAACAACAAAATACACAAACGCGTCAAATCAAATCTTGGGGAAATTAATAAACGACTGGAATTAACGACTGACGACTTACGACAACCTACCATACTAACAACACCACGATTTTCAAACACGACACTCCGTTTCGCCATCGATTATACAAGACACGCGAAAATAAGGAAACAACACATTCAAGATGCCTGCCCGGGTATCTTCAAGGTCAACCAGGACCTCCGCCGTCTCCCGCAAATCCTCAGTCCCAACCCTGAATTCTCGCTCCTCAGCAGCAACACTGAACGGACGTGGCTCAACAGCATCCCGAGTCTCAACACCCTACGTTGAAATCCCCGAAGAAACAGAAGACAACGCCCTCCGCAGCCAAATCTCAAGCATCTTCAAAGACGCCCAACGAACCACCACCTCGCACCGAAAACTCGTCATCAACTTGCGCAAAATCCAAGAGGCATGTGTCTACGAGCCGTCCAGCTCAAAGAAGAGCAAAACCGGAGCGGAAGACTTCGACGAGGAACAATTCAACTATGAGTTTACAAGATGTGTGCTGCGTGTTATGCCCGTGAAGAAGAGTGAAAGTGTGGGCGAACGCGCAATACGATTCATTGGCTTGTTTCTGAAGTATGCGAATGATAAGGATAATGAGCTGACAGAGGGGGAGGCTGATGAGACGGGAACTATGGTTGAGACGCCCAGTACGAGACTTACGAGTCAATTGATGAATACTACACTCCCGCTGCTGATCGCCAAGGAGAAGTTTGTTAGGTATAGGAGTACCCAGCTTATCAGCCATATCATCAATAGTTTGGATGCTATTGATGATGATCTTTTTCAGTTGCTGAGACATGGTTTGTTGAAGAGGATTCATGATAAGGAGGCCATGGTGAGGGTTCAGGCTGTGTTGGGATTAGGGCGACTTGCCGGGAATGAGGCCGAGGGAGAAACAGAAGACAGTGATGATGAAGATTCTGGCGCGGGTCTGTTGGATAAGTTGTTGGAGATTTTGCAGAATGATCCAAGTGCTGATGTGCGACGAAGTCTGTTGGTCAATCTGCCGATTCTTCCGAACACTTTACCTTTCTTGTTGGAGCGGGCGAGAGATCAGGATGCGGCTACTCGTCGAGCTCTCTACTCACGGCTACTCCCTTCTCTTGGGGATTTTAGACATTTGTCTTTGTCTATGAGAGAGAAACTTCTCAGATGGGGTCTGCGTGATCGAGATGAGAATGTCCGAAAGGCGGCTGGCAAACTATTCCGAGAGAGATGGATTGAGGATTGTGCTGGAACCGCCGAGGTTGAAGAAACCGAGGAAGGAAACGCAGAACCCAAAGGACCAAGTTTCGATGGCCTCCTGGAACTCTTGGAACGAATTGATGTTGTCAACTCCGGTGTCGAAAATGGTGTCGCACTGGAAGCCATGAAAGGTTTCTGGGAGGGCCGGCCTGATTATCGTGATGCTGTCAACCTTGACGAGTATTTCTGGGATACTTTGAGCGCTGAGTCTGTATTTATGGCTCGAAGCTTCAACGATTTCTGCTTGAACGAAGGCAATGGCAAATTCGTCTCTGTGATTGAAGAGAAGATGCCAGAAGTCACCAAACTTGCATTCTATCTCCATCGATACATTACTGTTCTCGTCGAGGCTGTGAAGAGAGTTTCTGAGCAAGAACCAACTGAAGATGAAGAAGAAGAAGATACTGTTGAACAGGAGTTTATTGTTGAACAAATGCTTCAAATTGCCCAAACAGTTGATTACTCGGACGAAGTTGGCCGAAGAAAGATGTTTGCTCTTCTTCGACAGTCACTTTCTATTCCTGATCTTCCAGAGGAAGTAACGAAGCTCGCTGTTGAGACTCTTCGTGGTATCTGTGCTGGTGATGCAGCTGGAGAGAAGGAATTTATCAGCGTGGTTCTCGAGGCTGTTCGCGATGTTCACGACACGATCATGGATGAGGAGGAACAGGCGGAGCGTGAAGACACAGAGGAAAGTTTCCATTCTGCTAAATCTGAAGTTAGTGATGAAGGCACTTCCGGCCCATCAAACAAGAACGGCAAGAAGCCAGAGTTATCAGAAGAAGAGGCACACAACAAAGCCATTCGCGAGATCATGGTCAACATGAAGTGCCTCCACATCGTCCAATGCATGCTTCAAAACGTTGAAGGCAACCTGCAGGATAACGTGGATTTAGTGGCTTGTCTAAACAATCTCATCGTCCCCGCAGTTCGAAGTCACGAAGTCCCAGTCAGAGAAAGAGGTCTCCTATGTTTGGGACTCTGTGCACTGCTCGACAAATCGCTTGCCGAGGAGAACTTGACATTATTTATGCACTTCTATACCAAAGGCCACGCCGCGCTCCAAATCACCGCTCTCCAAATCTTGACGGACATCCTCACCAGACATGGCGCCCAACTGTTGGACTCTAATCCAACCCTCCTAAAAATCTACCTCAAAGCGCTGAAATCAGGGTCCAAAGGGCCAGAAGTTCAAGCTGTCGCAACCGTTTCGGTTGCTAAATTGATGTTAGGACGTGTTATATCTGACGAGAGTCCTGCTATCGAGGACCTGCTTAAAACCCTTATCGTGTTGTATTTCGACCCATCATCAGCACAGAATCAGGGTGTGAGACAGGCACTATCTTATTTCTTGCCGGTCTATAGTTACAGTCGCAAAGAGAATCAAGGCAAAGTGCAGAGGGTTGCACTGGATACTTTGCATAAACTCTTCGAGATCCAGGAGACGATGGATGAGGAAGGAGAGGCGGAGGAGGAAATGATTTCTCTTGGGGCTATTGGTGCGACGTTGGTGGATTGGACGGATCCTCGAAAATGCTACGTCTCGCCTTCTCTCTCCTCTGGCTCCCTCATGCTATCCAGTGAAGAAGCGGCGAAGAAGGCAGTCAACGGTGACGTCCACCTTGAATTCGCCCGCGATATCCTGGAAAGACTTGGCTCTGGTGTCAGTCGAGAGGAGAAGAAAACTCTCTCCCCTCTTCTCGCTAAACTCCACATCTCCCCCGCCTCAACGGAACAGCTCATCAAGGAAGTATACGAAGAAGTTTCCGTTGCAATCGATGAGAAACTCATCCCGGATGCCACCGGCAGAAATGCCCTGTTTAAAATCCATGTTTCCCTGGGGAAAATTGTCAATACTCTGACCGAGCGAGAGAAGAGCGTTCCCTTCTCAAGTTCCGTTGGAGCGGGCAGTTTGAGTGGGAGTGTGGGACCTGGCAGTCTCAGGGGCAGTGTTGGACCCAGGAGCAGAGTGGGAAGCGCGGCGCCTAGTGCGGGTGATGAGACGGAGGGGGATAGGACGATGATCAAGGGGGAAGGTGAGGAGGGTGAGAAGGAGGGATTGGATAAGGTTGAAGAAGGGGAGGAGAGTGATGGGACTATTGTTCCGGAACCTGCGGGAAAGGGGAGGAGAGATAGTCTGGTGGATAGTCTGTTGAGTGATGATGATAGGGATACGGAGATGACTGGTTGATTAAATTGTTGAATTTTTGGTATGCGTATGCTATGATATGAATATGAATAATGATTGGGGTTGCGTTTTCGGGCATCGGTGTTTTACAAGTTCGTTGTTTACTGGCTTTTGCTCTTAAAGTATGAGGAATGAATATTTCTTTGTGTTTTTGATTCTATCTCGTGTATCTGGATTTATATATAAGTTTCAGTGATATTCCCTTGCAGGGTAGAGACCATGGAGGAGATATGAAATCGAGTTCTGCGAATCTGTTTCAAGTTGAAAACGCGCTATTCACCTCAGGTAATGGCGGGCGAGGGTATGGGAGGTTGATCTACAGTAATAGTTCAGTGACTCCAAAAATGCAGCGTGGTAAATTCGAGTAGTTGCGTTGAGTTAGAAGTGGCAGCTGCCTACAGTAACACGAGCTCGAGGAGTGAATCGCTAATCTAGTAGCTTACAGTACTACTCGAGTAGAGTTAATCAAGTATTTGAATAGTTTCGTTCAAACGCTAGAATAGTATATATAACTTAAAACTCGCTAACGCGTACTTACTTCCTCTCAACAAACCCCCAAACCGGTCCCCCAACCGCAAACATCCCCCTCAAATCCCTCACAACAACATGCCCCTTTTCCCACCCCGCAAAATGTCCCCCCCTCTCATTCACACTCTCCCACACCACATTCCCCAACCCCTTATTCCACACCCGCGGAAAAAGCATCACATCCCCCTCAAACCTCGCAATACCCACGGGCACATCGATATACCCCTGTACCGCCTCAAATCCCCCTGGCTTCCTATGTTCAATCTCATAATACAAATTCCCCGGTGCACCCGGCCCCGCGGTCGAGAAGTAGTAGATACATACCCAAGTGAGGATCTCGTCGTCGGTGAAGGCTGATGTGCAGACGGAGAGGTCAGACCAGTCGTGGAGTTTGNGCACCCGGCCCCGCGGTCGAGAAGTAGTAGATACATACCCAAGTGAGGATCTCGTCGTCGGTGAAGGCTGATGTGCAGACGGAGAGGTCAGACCAGTCGTGGAGTTTGGTGTAGATGAATGCTAGGAGACCTACCGGGGAGTCGGTTAGCGAGGGGGAGAGGGAGAGTGGTGAGGTGGAGAGGAGGCGCATGTAGCCTGCTCCTTCTGTGAGGAAGGTTTGGGCTTTTTGGAGGGCGGTGGTGTCGGAGAGGGGGAGGGGGGTTGTTGATTTGGGAGGGGCGGGAGCGCAGTTGTTGAGGTGGTAGGCGATGATGTGGAAGGGGTGAGTTTTGGCTATCGTGCGGGAGATTAGGTAGCCTAGGTCGCCTCCTTGTATTGCTGGGTGGTGTAAGCTTTGTAGTAGAACTCTTCACGATACGCTTCCAAAGAAAGTAAGGAGACTGAACGCTAGAGATGGATGGAGGCAGGGGCGAGGCGAAAACGTGCCGTATTGACAGTATCCAAGGGAAAGCATCAACTTATGATATACCTCCGCATGCTGATCGATATTGAATCCTTCCTAAACGTTCCACTATCAGCTCCCTATGTTCCCTTATCTCACACGCATTCCAATTTCGCTTTCAACATACCTTCCCACTCCCATCCGAGAACCCAAAATCCACCAAACTCGGGGCAACAACATGAAAATACACCTCCTCTCCCTTCCCCTGCCCTTCCCTCTCTCCTAAAGCACCATTAACTAAAGGCCCCAACATTTTCGTCACCTCAAGAAAACTCCCCGGCCATCCGTGGAGAAACAATAGTGGAATGGCATTATGGTCTACCTTGCTCCTCTGATGGACAAAATGGATGTTGTATTCTCCAAAGCCGTCCACGATGATAGGTGTGGTGAATTGGGGAATTCGATTCAGAGATTCTTCTGCGGCGCGCCAGGAGTAGGTGGTTTGCCAGTAGGCGATAAGACGTTTTAGTTCGGGGATGGGGACGCCGCGGGACCACTAGAAGATGGGTTAGGAGGAACTCTTTGTTTGAAGGGAGTAGTGGTATGGGTGCGAGATGGGATATCTTGAGTTGATCAGGGAACTAAATTCAGGGGAGATAGGCAGGTTTATTTACATCTGTGGCGGAGGTGGTAGTGGTGGGTGGGAAATCTGTGAGAGCTAGATTTTGATTGAGTCTCTCGAGACGAGAGTCTGGGATGGAAATTTTAAAAGGGGTTGGTGATGACATTTTTGTTGTCATTTTCTTGGTGGTGATATAGGAAAGTTATTCTCGTCGCTGCTGAATCGAGATTTGTGACTTGCGAGCAGATGTATATATACTCCTATGTGGAAACCAAAATGAGTTTGGCTGTTCAACAGTTCAAGAGGAGACGTCATGGTCTGAGAATAATTTCCCGGGGTAGCTATTGGGTCAAGCATATGTTCCTAATGCCATAGGATATCGGTATAGATATTTTGTGTTAGGAATTGGAACTAACTGTATTCAGATAAATTGTGAAATCAGAACCGATAGGATTGCCTCGTCAGGACTCGGCTTACTGGTTCCAGCATAATCTTCCACATCTAGTACTGTACTTTATGCGGAATTTCCAACAAGTGCAATGTCGTGTAACATATGAGGTTACAACTTACGCTGCGTCCAATGACTATGCCAAAGCAAACTTTCTGAATTGGATCGTTGTGGCGGAGGTTCATAGATAAGCGAAATCTGGGAAAGGGGGCGCATCCAAAGAGGCTTAGCGTCGTCTCAATTTACGCTACAACCAATAAGATGATGACTCTTAGCGGGGCTCGTTGCGGCACAGCAAGTCACTGACTTCAATTGAACCCCTCCCTCACTAATTCATCAAGAACCTTAAACAAATTCCCCCATCAGCAACTTCAACCCTAAGTAAACCAATGGAACAACCAGTCTCAGTCGAAGCCAAGAAACCAAATCTACTTTTAAATAAAAAGACCCGTCCCAAAGTCCGCGGTACCTCCAAAGTAAAAACAGGCTGTCAAACCTGCAAGTACGTCCCTCACTCACCGCTCCCTCTCTACGATCACCTAACCCAACAACCCCCCAGAATCCGCCGCAAAAAATGCGACGAGAAAAAACCATCCTGTACACCCTGTCTCACCACCTCCCGCCCCTGCGAATTCGCAAAAATTCCCATGCCAACCCCAACACCCGACCCGCATACACGCCCCCACACCTCCCTCTCACCCCTGGAATCTACCTATTTAGACTACAATCAACGTCCCGGAATCAAGCATCTACTTCTCACCCATCTAGACAACCCTCTTGCTTCAAAACATGCTTCTAGAACCCTCCCTCCTGCACTCCGTTCTCGCAATCGGGGCTCTGTCCCGAACGCATTATCATCCTTCGCCTCACTCCCATTCCCATAACACCATGTCAGATTGTAGGAGATTCGGATTGCATCACTACAACCATGCTATCCGTGCGTCGCAGAAGTTGTTGGACCAGCGGAATTGGAAGATCTTGGTGCTCGGGAGTATGTTGTTTATTAATCTGGAAGTGTTTATGGGGTGGGGGAATAGGGTGCAGATGTTGCTTGCTCGAGCTAGGAGGGTTCTGGGTACTTGTGGTGAAGGGAGAGAGGAAGATGAGGTTATGGAGATTGTGAGAGGGGCTTTGGGGTTGGTTGAGGGGTAGTTTGAGGGGTTTAGGGGGTTTTGTTTGTGAATTGTTTTGTTTGGTTAGCTAGTTGTCTAAGGTATACAGATTAAGGAAATGAATGCATATTGACTTTAGCAATTCTGATGGGTTTAAAGTTCTTGAACTAAAATCAGCAGTGTACAGCTTGTATAGGGTGACTCAACTGGGATGATTTTTATATGGCAGCGTACTCAAGTAGTAATAATTAGTATACTATAAACAGTACTCAAAATACAAAATAAATGTCCTTAGATATAACGTCTTGTAGTAGTATTTCTTCGTCCTTGCTTACCAAAGACTCTAGCTTTTTAAGCTTATTATTAAGTTAACACTCTTTTTTTAAGAGGCTATTCCTATTTCGCATAACATTATTAGCCCCCTAGCTAAACAACTGCTCGCTAAAAACGCTCGCCGCCGGAATTTACAGTGAGTGGACCGGTCGCCCGACCTCCGGCCAGACTTACTCCGCATCAGTCAAGTAGTACTGTACTTATCTTATTGTAACTCGATGACTCGATGACTTGGCGAATCAAGATGAGAAGAACTAAAACTAACTCAGGTTGTAGTTGCTCAGTTGATTAACTTGTTTCGGTGCCACTACTCGACTCAACTCTACTCATTTCGAACCCTGTAGAGTTGGGTGCCACTGGTACTGTAGAAAACCTTCAAGTACTATATAATAATATAAGTCAAGCAAATATTTCTCTTTACTTAAATCAAGTAATCCACGTTTGTTAATGCAGCCTAAAATCAAGACTCTTAGGAGAACATGAAATGAGAGGTGACAAGAATGTGTAGAACAGTCAATATATATTTTGTTATTATACATGATCTTTAGGATCTCCAGAAATAAACCCCCACTTGGATGCATGCCACAACACTGGATACATCTGCACCGCATAATTACTTCGTCTTTCCATTACATACGCCCAATCGATTTCTCTACATTTTGGTGGGCGGTCATCTCTTTTGGGAATGAATGCATGCATTGCATATGAACTGGAATAATCTAATTCCCAGTCCTCCTTTACTCTGTTCTTTGACACATTCCAAAATTCTTCCAGATCAATATCCCACGGACTCTTTAGAGGATCTTCTTCCGCTCTCAATTCCTTTGTAGTTTCTGTCTTCTGGTGATTGAGATAAAGTGCTGCATGTTCTTCTGGCAGCCATCCATCCGGCGTAAATGCTTTACGCTCCATTACTAGAACCTGAAATGGAACGGGCGTTAGAGCAGCAGCTAACCTGGCAAGAAGCTCCACGCTATGAGTAGTCCATGCCTTATCATAAGCAAGGTGCTGTTCCTTGTCGAAAATATCCATCAACCTGCTTCCTCTCACAGACATCATTAATCCATTGTTGGGTTTCTCCAAAAGCTCGTGACCAAAAACGTTTTTGAACCCTGCTTCTCGTAGGGGCCGGAAATCGCGTAGTATAAAGACATCAAAATCTAGGTATATGCCCCCGAAACGGGAAAGTATATTGGGGCGTAGAAAGTCGGATTGATGCTCCAATGCAGTGATCGTGAGTCCGGTTGTGGTTTTGGTGGGAGGTTGTACTTCCCGCACCACCAGCTGTGATATTGACAACACTTTTCGCGTCCAGTAACTTCCGTAAGTCTTGGCTCGAGATATAGCTTCGCTGTTTGCGTTTGTATGAAGGTAGATGATCTCTGGTTCTAGGTGTAGGAATGCAGAATACATCGATAAGAAGTGTTTGAAATTAAATTGAGGCGTTGTTTTGGCTGGATCCAAAATCCACACATAGTGAACGACATTGGGAATGATGTCGCCTTCTTGGACGTCGCCTCCTTTGCCTTTAATGAATGTTAGAGATGCTAGGCCAGACGGTGATGGAAAAACCGGACTTGAATGAGGAACTAAGCTTGGTGTGAATGAAGAGTCTTTGAATCCGAAGAGGATCACCAGGACGATTATCAATCCCAGTACCGCAAAGCGGCGGAATGGTAGGAGGGTAAGCATCGCAGTTTTGTTTTGCAAATAGTGAGATGGTTGATATTAATTATGATAAATTACTTGGCAGTGCAAAGAGAGTAGAATTAAAACTTGCAAGTTGTATGGGATCTCGCATTCCAGGAACCTGCCCACCCTGGAGACTTGGAAAGAATTCGAAAAGCTCCTCAAACGAACGCACTGCGGGTTCATCAGGTTATACACCGTCCTTAAGACCAGCTACTCCTTCGCGAGTCTTTGACCCAGGTTGATTAAGGTTGACAGGCGTTTCAAAAGGCTTGGTGCCTTATGATAAGTCTTCATCATGAGATAACAGCAAGGATCAGAGCTCGACTGTAATTCACGTTCTTGGCAGATATTGCGTTCGCTGAAATGAACCTGCACACCCGGGTTTTCGGCTCACCATATGACTGTGCGCTTGACAGATATTTTCACCAGAAGGCAGAGCCTAGACCCAAGTGTAGATACATAGGCAGGGCGCAAAGTAAACATGGTTGACTTGACCACGTGCCGTGGAAAATGCAGCTTCAGCTGATGAGTTTAGGGAATATGGGATTCAGTAGAAAGACGCAGTCATCTGGATTTCCGTGTCCTGAACACCCAAAAGATCGCATTCCTACAGAGTTCGTGGAATCCAAGAAATGCGCTTTCAAACGCTTCAAAGTGTCAAGCTCGCTATCCGTTGCCAATTTTTACCATGCCTCTACATGAATTCGATAAACTCAATTAGCTGAGAAGGCTATATTGTGGGGCTACACCCTTCCTATACCGTGATAAAACGAATTCAAGAGTGCAAAGAAGCTGGCAAGACTACTTTCGGGTCGTTTGAAGAGCAGCGCTCTACGAGTCTCAAGGTAGAAAAGTCCGACAACAAACAGCTTTTGCTCATTGTATTCTTCTGCGTATAAAAAGGGGATTTTAGCGAGTAGGGGCTTCTAGTTTATACTGTTCCAGACTGCTCCGTACTCCACCCGGCCACCCAGCATATCTTACGAAGCACAACATCGATTCAACACGGTAATACTTCGTTTGCAAGGGGATGATCACGCGAGCTGTCCAATCCCTTTATCTTGAATATGAAATATCATACTGAAAATCCCAAGCTAAGCAAGTAAGCAATAACTTTAATCTTCGCACCCGAGACCAGTTCACGAAAACTCTGTTACTATGGGACGATCACTTGGCAACGTGGTTTAAAGTTCAGGATCCTTTCCCTGAAAACTGTTCCGCCCGGACCGTCCCTGCCCCGTGTATTTGTAACAATTAACCCTAGCAAAGAAGCTGAATGTGGTTTTGTCAAAGGCATGATGCCTGAAAACCACTCGCCGAAGGCATTGTAATGTGGCTAGTACCTTGGTCGGACCCGCAAGATCCGAACGTTTACTTCCACTGTGATCAAAGGAGGAAATACCGAGTACGGAATAGGAAGCCAAAGAATCATAGGCATGCTCGAAACATTTCAGATGCAACGCATCCCCATAAGATCAGGAACCCGTATCGAGTAGATAAGATCAGGTTTGTTTCGTCGTGATCCCACGGGGATCTGTGTTGATATTCTGACTAGCATGATCTCTGACCGAAGATCTGGGTTATGATTGTCCTCTGATCATATCTTCAATGTAATTGTTTCTCCTACGATCGAATGATCAACTCCGATCTCACACCCCCGTCCTCAGTCATCTGCCATTTCCAATCACTTGTCGCTAAAGGTATGCGAAGTGTGTCAAAGATATGGTCACAGAAGTGGCAAAACGTTATTAGACACTAAGGGCAAATGGAGCACATGTACATAGTTCCGGAGGGATTTGAAAGTCAAGCAATAACGCCTGTTTATATTGTGTATTTAAGTTTATAAAATTATACAATGAAGAATCTGAAATATTAAAGCCTAGAGGCCACACTCGTTCTGTGTCCCGATGACACTCATCATTTCTCTCCAAACCAAGCGAGAAAGGAAGCGAAATCTCTCGCATGAATGTCTTTACCACATACGCGTACAATATAGCAAAGCAAAGCTGTATACAAGTACTGCGAGAGGAATGTTCTCATACCCAAACATATCGTACTTCCAAGGAACGCGCTTCGCTGTCTCAATCGGGTAAGCAACGTTCGTAACTGGATCTCTGGATAGGAGTTCTTCTCTTGGTGCCACATCTGGAGGAAAAAGGGCATAGCGTAGAGGAGTTAAACATGCGGCTCCAGTCAAAAGCCATGGTAGAGGAGCCCATCCTATATGAGTGAGAAGATATAGATAGAAAGCGGTGGAGTCGCCAGAAAAGCGTGTGTATGCTCTTGTGAAAACGGTACCGACAGCAGCCAAGCACATGACGACATAAATAAGGTGGAAAATGGCACCTTGTTCGAAAAGAATGTTCTTGAGTCGACGATGGAGTGGCGCTCGTTTCCCTTGGTCTCTTTCTCGAAGCGAATCTTGAATTGTTCCTGTTGGGATAAACTTTGTGATCTTGCCTCCGAAGCCTTTTGGTAGAAGAAAAGTTTGGATTTGTGTCAAGGTATGGTCTAGCACAATTGTTAGCTCATCAACAAAAAACAGTGGAACACGGATCAACGAACATGGAGCCATCCAGATCTCTGTTGAGAGTTCCATAAACGAAGCTTTGTAGCCTGTCAAAGCAGACATGTGAAATCTCAGTAACCATCCACATGCGTACGATACACATGCAGCTTGTGTTAATTTCTTGAGTTCTGGGATTCCAGAAAACACAACAATGGGGACGTCTGCCATGAGTATTGCAGGTGATGTCAAAAGCCCAAGTGTGGCAAATCCAGCAGTGATGGACTTGACAGGGTAATATAATCCATACAACCTTTGAAATATGCCCATACATTTGGCTTCGGTACCAAATAAACATAGCTTCATTGCAAGGCCGCATTCCAGCCCTCCAAGTTTCTGTAAAAAGCAACAAGTTAGCGAAGAATTAGACAGAGTCTTCGGGCAGACTAACCCATCTCCTGTGTTGTTTCAGGTGGCCTTGGTAAGATTCAGGCATCAGACCATATTGCAAAGACTCTGCGATGAAAGCCGCATTCCATCCCTTTCCAATCTGCTTACTGGAGCAGTGGACATCTTCTGATAAAGTTTGGCCTGGGAAACCATCCACGTCGTCCAATGCGGCTCTTCGCATAACCCAACCTAAAGGAAGAAGTTAGCCATGTTTACTCCATTTTGCCTTCCATATCACAAATGTTTTACACACCTGAGCCGGTACACCAGGCGGAATTCATTCTGTCCTTGATGTATTCGTCGAACTTGTTGACATTGGTTTGGGTTTGGAAAAGGGGGTCGTTGATCGGATTATTATAGAAAGTCTTTAAATGTCAGGCAAAATAGTTTGTTTTGAACGGGCGTGAAAAAATACCGCTGCGGGGCATGTGAAGCCCATTTTTGGATCGAGAAGTAGGTGAGGTATCTGAGCGCGCAAGAAATGTCTTGTGGGAATCATGTCGGCGTCAAGCCCAGCCGCGAACTCATAAGAGCCGCCAGGTAGCGTTCTGGAGAACCTGAGAGCTAGGAAGATAATGTTGTATTAGCAAAGTTTCTTAAGTTGTTCCATTGAAGAGAGAAGGAATTGTGTGAGCTTACCATGGTTTATGTTACCGGCTTTATTGCCATCATTGGGACCTTTAGTTCGGCAAGTATAAAAAAGCCGTTGAATCTTGTCTGCCGCTGACAAATTTCGGATGGCATCTGCAAGTTCGGAGGAACCTCCATCGTCCGTGACAATGACACGAAACTTGTCGATAGGGTATTCAATGTTCAATGCACCTCGAACCGTGTCCAGGATGATATCCACGTCTTCTTTGCAAGTCGTGATAATGATATCCACCGAAGGTGCAGCAAGTCCAGCCAATCTGAGTTGGCGACGTTCGGATCCAAACAGAATCGCGATAGCATCAAGGATAGCTTTGAGAAAGTTGGGTGCTGTATTGAAGATTAAAAAGTGGTCTCGAGGTCTGGATCATGACTATTTACCAACTGTGAGGAATTCCAAAACACAAAAAAATAAGCGAGTGCTCATATCCTGGCCAGCAGCTCTTAATTGTAAGATTGTGTCGAATTGCAATCTCCAGTAAGTATATCCAAAGTACACCGAGGCAATTGCAGTTAAAGGAAACAGCGAGATGATCTGTCGTGCCCACGCCGAGACATGCATCTCATCTTCATCGTCCTCCTCTGATCTTTCAACTTCAACAATTCGATAACTCGCAGGACCGGTTGAGCGAACCGTCTGAGCATATTCCGTCTTAAGCTTTTCACTGCGCGGCAGCCATTCGCTTCGTCTTAAATTAAAGCCAGGCATCTTGAAATATTCGAAATAAATAATTAAATACCGCCAGCGGGAGAAGAAAGAATGGTATTTTTTTTTCTGGGCTGTGGGCGAAAAGAACGTCGTTGGGTAGAAACCACAGCTTCGGGATTCTCAGCATAGTTAAACCTTACAGTATGCGAAGGACTTTTCGCTCAAATCACGAGGGAACAAGGGTCTCGCAAAGGCTGAAGCACAATCAAAGTTTATTGATTCATGAGACGAACGAGGCGTAACGGCCTTGGCTCTGCACGGACCTATATCAATCGTCCTCTTCACAACAGTGGGACTTCAAACAATCAGAATCCCATCTGGGAAAGACCGAAGTTTCAATTTACGAAGTAGAATTCCCCTGAAACATGCCTAGAAACATGGGTCGTACAGGGAAAGGGAAAGGGCATCCCTAATGGTAAGTATCGTACGTTTATGTATAATAAGCTTGCTCTCTACCAACTGTTCCAAGATTGATACTGTCCAAAATTCCACATCAAAATGAATGAAACTTCAAAAAATGACAAAATCGAAGAGCTTCCCGTCTTCCACCCCACGGGCCATCTCACTCCCCGAGCCATAGGCAGTTTGCTGATCCCAAGCTTTCTACACCACCAAAAGACGCCACCTAAGTTACATTCGACATCATGGCTTGACGGTGCTCGTGGTATCGCATGTATGATTGTGGTCACCTATCATCACTCCCTCGTATTTCACCAAAGAGGATTATATGGATATGGAGAAATTGGTTTAGATTATGCAATGCCCGGCGTGCCAGATTTTGAGAAGGCCGAGAATCGCTATATCATGCAACTCCCATTTCTCCGTCTACTACATGCTGGCTCAGCAATGGTCAGCCTATTCTTCGTGATATCCGGATATGCCTTATCATTCAATCTCATCGGTCTACTACGAAAACAAAGATGGACAACATTTCTTACCAAGCTCACATCCTCCGCCTTCCGGCGTCCAATACGACTTTTTGGTCCTGTCATGATTTCCTCCTTCATCAAAGCCGCCTTGACATTTCTAGGTGTCTACGAACTCACCCGGGAATTCAGAGAGTCACCTGCCCTCTTCAACAAACCTGATTTCGCTCCACGGTTACCATTATTTCAACAACTTTGGGACTGGTTTACGAAAACACCACAATTTCTTGACATTCTGAACTATGTCAATGGGCAATTTCCGTTGTATGCGCAACCGACTTGGACTATTCCGCGCGAAGTGAAATACTCCTTCGTTCTTTATATTCAGATTCTAACGTTATCTCGCGCAAAAACGGCCACGCGCATCTCGCTTCTGGCGGCATCCAGTATCTGGAGTATAAAGTCGTATTACTGGGAGACCTTTTGTTTCACTTGGGGGATGATACTAGCGGAATTAGATGTCATACGGCAGGAGAATGTCACTGATGAGTTGACGAAATCTCCTCAGAGTAGCATTCGACCTTCGAAAGGTCTAGGTTCGCAGATGCGGGGCTTGCTATTTATCATAAGTCTATACCTGCTTGGATTCCCAGAAAGACATTCGGAAAGGACACCTGGTTACGTCTTCGTTACAAAGATCAATATCCTCGCCAAAGATGAATGCAGGTTCTGGCCTTCCGTGGGATCTGTTATCTTTCTTTGGGTTGTCGGGACTAGTCCTACCCTCCAAAAACTCTTCACCAATGCGTTTTCTCAGTATCTGGGTCGCATTTCTTTCGCTGTATATCTCGTCCATGTATTCATACTTGATACAGCTGGTCTGTTGCTTCTTCAATATGCTTGGTCAATAACAGGAATAGACACCATGGTAGGACACGAACTTGGTTGGTGTCTTAGTTATCTCGGTTTGCTACCAATCATCATCTGCGTGGCTGATGTCTTCTGGAGATTGGTTGACTTGAAGTGTTTGGCACTGTCGAGGTGGGTAGAAAATAAGTTCTGCGAAGCCTAGGAAATCTCACCCTGAATCATTGCTGGGAGAGAGGTCCTCAAACAACATCATGTCTGGTTCACATGTATATAGGCGTCATGGCGTTGTTTTTACCGTACTTTCCTAATGAGCTTAAAGCCAACTGGCAAATATGTAATAATCAATAAAAATCTCTAATATTCACAAGTTTTGAGCCACTCAGCTGTGGGAAAATGGTATTATCCCAGCGTATACGGGGAATATGCGTATAGATAGCTTTTATCTCTTGTTGTTGAGTGAAGTTTTGATCGAATGTTGTTCTTTTTGCGCTGCTGTTTCCACGCTATGTGATGGGGCTTCTCTATGGATATTACTTTCCGCGACGAAGAAAGTTATCTGTCAACATGGGGACCGTTGAGAACCTTGCAATTGCAATACAAGGCCAATGCGCGCGTGTGTTGTGGAGGTTGACAGGTTTAGTAGCTCATTCTCCGAGCTTCTGAATAGCGACAATCTTGACTCCTATGAGAACATGTATTAAGTTTTCACCAAATATACCAGTTGCGAGGCCCTCAAAAACTTATCTTCATTTCTTAGTTCGAAGATATGCCATCTGATCCCCACTTGCGGCGACTCGGAGAGTATTTTCGAAAGTGCCATGAATCGATGCCTCGAATAACGGAGTGTGAGGGTTTTTGCGATCGTTGATGCATATACTATGGCAACTATTAGTATGCTTGCTCTGCAGAAGGGTGAAGTAACTTACCTAGTCTCGTCACAGACAACAACCCTCCTCGGTGCCGCAACGAGAACAACCACCACCACCATCGCGCGACCAAGCCTCCAACAGCCCCAACCAGAGCCAGCAAGCGTACCGAAGGAGTCATATCCGCCGGCGAGAGCCAGAAGGGGTACAACCACACGTATCACCTATCCAGATACCGCCCTCAGGAACCAAGAGAGCCGCCCATATCCAACGAACACGGTCGAAGATACAGTAGTAGGGTAGAATATACCAGTACATGGCTCTCCTGCAGTATCCGACCTCGGTGCATCGGACCTTTTTCTGCTTGAGGATGGGAGTGGGTTTGGGGATGATGATTGATGCGAATAGTGATGGTTTGGTTTGCAAGAAAGGACGGAGACACGTTGGGGATTTGTGTGCGATCTATTGCAGAGAGAGCGTGGCGGCTCTTTCCATCTTGGTGGCCTCGCTCTTGCCTTTTTGGTGGGAACTCGGGTTTACTTGCGCGCACGTCACCCTACTAAAATTCTGGAATGGATTCCAATGTATTGTCTAATTTATCGCCAGGCGAGGACCAATCTCCTGGTGTTCTCCGAAGCATTTGGATTCACGTGGTGTCAACCCGGCCTCCATATGGAGAACCAGAAAATATATCTAAGTTCCTTGTGTTGAATTTCTCTTCTCACGTGATTAATTGCAGCTTCCCGAGGTCAAACACGACCATTGGGTAATATCCTACCATTAAAATCGGCTGAGAAACAGTTCCAAACCTTTTCTCTGGTTCTTGTCGAAGAGCGGTTGGTTAAGCGAGGTCTCGACATGTCCATCGAACTTGAGAGCATCGCCGTGATAGATACTAAGTCCGACTGCCGGGCCTGACACAGTCAAGTGAAATTTTTGGTGAGTAGTGTGAACGTACGGGAATCTCCTGTTGTATTTCTGTAGTTTGGGAATTTGATATGATTTAGTTTAGAAATTCACACCACTTAAAGTTATAGACCAGACTACCGATTCAGTAATACCACGAATGATGAATCGGGACTCGAGGACGCGAGAAGCTCTATTATACTTCCCATGAATACCGGCACGATAAGGTTTACAGCATCATTCAGATGGTTGAAGTTTATGTTTCAGTTTCTCTAGGATACATGACAATTACTGCGATTCCTATTTACTCTGCTATTTTATCGTGTGGCATTTGTGACAAGTTCTCAACATGACTCTAGAAGGCATCCTGTTTCTTCGTTTATTGATTATATTCATCCTCATCAAGCTGCATTTTGGAAGTGCCGACAAACCTCGCACAGATAGTGACCCACACAATGCCCCCCAAGATCGGCTCTGTTTCCTCCACAACTCCTGGAATCTGCCGCAGAGCCCCCGGCCAGAAATTCGGCTACCACAAACCGAGACAAATTTCTACGCGTCGTCACGCCGCTGAGACTGATCCAGTGGAGATGTTTACCCCGATGGCAGTACTATAGGCCAGACTCCGGTACACATTTGGAGTTTGGCAGCTGACAACGCCTTTCTTGTTTTGTTCCTTGCTCCAGCATGCACTTGGAGTTTGACAGCTCACAACCCCTTGCTTGTTTTGTTCCTTATCACGGAACAGGAAGAGCTCGCCTATCCGGGGGCGAGCAGGGAGTCTTTATAAGAGGACCCTGACCGAGTGGAAGCCTCTAGAGTACTAGGCATCCACCTAGGCCAGCGAGAAAGGGGTCGGGCAGGAAAGACAGGAGTCTCGGCTAAGACCGACCGACATGTCGTAACAATTGCCGCCACAAAATCGAAAGACGATTCCCCAGCGTCACAATATAGGCTGGATCCTCCTCTTATTTCCTGTCGTATATTTTCTCCTCTTTGCCTGCCAAAAGTGTGTGGCAAATGGTGTATTAGCCAGCATAATCTGGCCTGGCATACCTGACAAGGTCTGAAAAATTCTCTTTCAAGTGTCGTAGCACATCCAATGTTGAATCACCACCTTTCATCCACAAGTAGAGACTTGTTGAACTTTTGTAGATGCGTTCCCATAGGCGCTTGGTGCCTGGAGCCACACGATATAGGCACAGTAGTAGTAGTAAATATATGACTTTTGCGATTTGCGAAAGACTCTTTTGAGACTTATAGCCCCTAATACACCGTTAGTTATGAATGGAGTATTTAGGTCGAGGAGATAAAACTTACTCTGCCGTCTCTGGTTTTCCGACTATCAAACAATGGCGGCTTGTTTTCATCCTTGAACAAGACTAAGATATCTTTGGAATGTCTAATGGGTAGGTTGATGATCTTCTCCTCTCTTCTCGCCCTTAGGATGACAGCATTGACTGTGGGAAATTTAATGAACCTCCGTCCAGAAGATATCTCGAAAATGCACCTAATATGGATTCATTGCCATCAAGCGACCATGTTAAAAGATTTGACGGAATAGCTGGGTTGCAACTTTGTGGAAAGCAGCGTTTCAGCCAGAAATGCCCTGATTCGATACGTCTTCATATGGCTGTGTGAACGGTTTGATGAAAACGAATGAACTCCAACGACAGCTTTTCTCTTGCGCTTTTGCCACATTGAATCAGTCCTGAGCTTTCCTCAGGGGAATTATGTAACAGGCTAAGTTTCCCCTCGCAATAGTACCGCGGTAAGATCCTTGATTGTGTTCGAAAATGACCCTCACGGCGCAATGACTCTGGGGGGCTTTTATTTCTTGTTGCGGAACGGGCAGAGGAAAAGCTGATCTGGATCTCCCACTTTCGCCATTTTTAGCGAGCAGAGCAGATGTTTACCGTGCCCTTGGCATCTGTGAGGACTTTCTGATCCCAAATACTCAAAACATCTCCTGGATCTTCACGATATCCATACACATATTTGTGTGAGGGAAATCCCCGTCAGGCAACTTTGGAGATTGGTGAGCAGAGGTCCCATAGCTCGGGTAATTGCGGGGTAAACTGCCGAGGAATGTCACATGATGATAGTGACGGACGTATGATTTCTTTTGGTTGCTTCGTGTTCTCCTTTATGACCGTCTGGGACACACCAACGCTTAATATATCTCCAAGATCTTGTCGTGGATCACGGTGCCACTCTCACGGAATGAAGTAAGTAGTCGCAAATATCGTATTCGACAGCTAATCCTTGAGAACGAGGAATCCTTTCTTAGTGGAATGAAGTCGGGATAGCCATGGTGAAATTCAAGGGGCTTGCTGGTCGTCCTTTATCTCCTCCGCCAAGCCTAGCAAGAATTTTCGAAGCAGTCGTGATGTAATAGATTGAGGCGCGATTGGTAGCCACACTCAGAATGAAACTCCGTGGGAATGGTGACACGATTCGAGGTCAAAGGATTCGCCTCATCCAACTTGAACTCGTATTCATCTCAGCAACAACTAAGATGAACGGCTCTGATTATATCCAGGGTTCCCAAGTACAACCACCTTCACCCACTCTTTCCACCGGGTTTCGTTCTTCTGATCCAAGAGGCTTCGCTCACAGAGAGCACAGACGCACAGGGTAGCGAGAGGAATAAGTTTGGTTGAGTTCCGACAATTACGGGGTAAGTCTCTGCGCGACCTCTTTTCTAAGTTGCAGTTGATAAAATTCTCGTCCACAGTCAGCCTGGTTAAAGTTAGTCGCTATCGCAACCCCCCAAAGGAATATCAGCATAACACCCACGCTGTGACTGTAGCTTGCAAAGTGGAATTTGTCCCACAGTGAGGTGGCTTTGTCGTCTTTCTTGACATGATTGACCCAGGATGGTCCGCAAATGGTAATTGTAGTCCGTAAAATGAAGCTGTTGACATGAAGCATGTTGGTGGGCTTGTCTGGCGGAACGCTCCCCCTATTTAACTGAGGCCTCTCGCTAGAGCTCCTGTAGTAGCTACCCAAGACTGTAGGGAGAATCCGCCAAATGCCGATGTGATCTTGTCGGTACAGGAGCATCTCATAAGACGACTCCTTCGCCCTGTGGCTAGCTCTCTTTCCAATATATATTCTTCACACATCCCGACAGTGCCGTATTAGTCTTCCGACAGCTTGAGACATCGGGCTCAATTGGTCTTTCCAAAGAAAGATTTGCGCGAACCTTCAAGTAACCCATGAGGTGACCACAATGACAAAGCGTCTCGAATTGGACCCGGATCCTGATGAGGAATTTCGAAACTGCTATATAGCTGTTGTCAGTGTTACTACGTGTTTGATGATAGCAATGAGGTGGGATATTTAAGTATACCCTACGAGCTTTTTGGTGTTGTGAAGACAAGTAGGAAAGCTGTGGAACTAACATAGCTGGAACGAAACCGCATCGGAGGCGGGGCACTGCGACTCGACTTGACTTTTGTATATGGGAGAAGCTCACGAGGTCCCAGGTATTCCTCCAGGCACATATGCAAACATGTATTGCTCTCCATCGGCTGGTAGATTAGGAGCTTTCCAAAACTTTGACGGCGAGTTTTTTCAGCCTGTATCTCTTGTCAGTCTAGTTTTTCGTTATTGCGGACGCACATGTTATCTGTCACGCAACTTAGTTTCTCGGAAATGATTGCAAATGCGGTAACAACTCGCAGGATATCATGTAGCTTACAGTACATGAATTACTCTTAGCTTCGTTTGACGTCTGCATTCATCCCCCTGTCTTCGACGACTGTAAAGAGCATGAGTTGAGTTGAATGTTCAAGAACCCGCAACCAAAACCCCGTATTATTACCAATTCTAACGCCACCGACAGTTGTTACAAGCAGGAATACACAGGTACAGAATCGGCACATTGGGGTTCCTTGTCACACGGGCAGGCAGATCTCCCAGCTCCATGCTCTCGTTTTGTTTGACCAGCTTCCCCCGCCAGTTATCAGTTTGATTGAAGATTCACAGACCATGCGAGAAGGATTCCTTGGTTTCGTCCTCTGCTGACGGAGCTGATAGCCAGGTCAGTATTTTGTTTACACAATTGGCAAAATGTATATTCTTACCGACAGCACGGGTTGACTTGGCAGGCGTGGTGCTCTTAGCTTTTGATTTTCGAGCGCCAGGCTAGCCGACAGGACTGCCCTTCTTTCCGGATCTGTCTGTCAGGGTGGAATATTGATTAGATTGGCCGCAAGGGGAAGTAGAGTTCCCGTACTGGGCGAACCACTTTTGCGAGCCCAGATGCTTGATTACATCTCCCGCCATCAGCTGGGAGCACGGGTACCCATACATCTGGGATCGACTACGTCAGCCTATGAAGATCAGATGAAAGATGGTAGTAGGAAGCAACATACTATGTTTCATGCGTATGGCAGTGTTTTCTTCTATTACTTGACACACCGCGAAGATCCTGCCGAAGTCCTGATCTTCGTGGTATGTCAAGTACATTCAAGCCATCCAGCGAAATTTGACGGGCGTGCATCACAGGCGGTCTCTCAGATGGGATGGTTGCGGGTGTGAGGCCATTTGAGGTGAGTGTACTCATCAGTGACCTCTCTTGCGAACTCAAACATTTCCAAGGCAGACAGGTGTTGCCACACCCCCCTCCACCATTGACTTATGCCTCTGCTGATAGATGTCGAAGTCATACACCATAAACCCTCCTTTGAATGACTGCGGTGGTTGGCGCTTATCTGTTCAAGAAGCAAAGTCAGCACACCATGTCGTTAAATTGGAGAAGTTACCACTCACAATTGTACACCACCAGCTGCTTGATCTGAGTATCATCCTGGGCAATAGCAACAGAAACAGCAACCTCAGCCTGCAGGTCGTTTGGTCTTGCCAGCTTAGCGAGGAGGTCTCATAATTCGTCGACACACCCGCAAACGAACGACAGGAGAAACTTTAATTTGACGCATGGATCCAAGACCAGTTCAATTGAATTTTCTCAAAGATCAAGCCAGACAGGTATTTCAGCGTTGAGATTAGGAATCCAGGCATATCAGCAAGCCGTAAACCTTGGATTGCAATCAAGTTGATGGAGTTTGCAAGATCCCATTGTGGGCTTGAAGAGTTGACCTCAGCGAGATTGATCCCATCCCAAGAGAGAGGGTATTACGGTACCCCATAGAGTTTGCAGATGGCCTGCCAGTGATCGCCAGACGAATCGGAACACTTCGGAGCACCTGAAGCACTGCTGCAGGAGATATCTCCTCATTTCCACGCTAGAAGAGAATCTTCTGCACCTTTCCAAAAATATCCATGTCAACTATGAGGTGGAAGGGCCAACCGAAAGTGTAATTTTCCAAAAGATAAGGGTTGACAGAGGCAGACAGAGGCAGACAAAGGCATACACGCACAGTACACCCCCACGACATGCAGAGGGGAGTTCTCAGTCGATGGCTAGTTATGATATGTTCTCAGATATTTTACAGCCTCTTTCTCCCAACTCAGATAAAATCACAACCCATCAGTTCAAAAAACACGTGCGTGCAGCTTACGTATTGTACTGGCAAAGCCAAAGCCATCTAGGCAGTTGCTCAATGTCTGGATAAGGTAATCCAACAGTCATCTCTCATGTTAGACAAGACAGTCTCAAAGGAGGCTGGCTAATATTATACAATTTCCAGTGATTATGGGCCGACCGTCGGCTCCAGATCCCTGATGTATGCAGACTTCACTATCCTTATCGGCTTAGCGTGGTGGTCGTTGTCGGAGGGTCTTGCTCGCTTCACTCCTTGGCAAAACAAAGTGGCTGGATTTTGTATTTCTTCCCACAGGACACAACTACTTCTTGAAAACCTCAAGACAATCACCAACTTTCTTCTCCAACCACCAAAAGAAACACCATAGATCTCAGACAACCATACTATACTGTTCTTTTGACATATACTGTTCGCACGCCATTCAAACTCTCCAACATCACCCTCTCCAAAGCAGCCTGCCTTACTTGGTTTTGCTGCGTCGCTCCAATCAATCCGACGTGTCTCAAGATGCTTTGTCGCTTCTGCATCACTGTCTGGGCTCTCTTTATTGCCTATGTGTTCTTCTTTGGTATGTGCTTGACATTAACATACATAAATCTACAATTGCTAATCTATTATAGTGGGCGTTATCACGTCTTGTTCTTTCGATGACGATGGACCATCCTCATCCAATGCTACCATCGTCAACTCAACCATGGCTTTCTTCCCTCGGTCTGTCAACGACCCCACTATGACTATCATCGCCACTGTTTCTGAAGTGGAAAGAACCTTCTGCAGTAAGTTCAGTCTATTTTTTACCTTCTTTCATAGAGATTTATACACAATTGCCCTTTCTATAGTACCAAAATCTAACATTCCTCTTGTAGCCAACTCCATGATCCCTTTTCATTGCGTTACAACGTCTGTCTCAGTTACATCCACGATTACCTCCTACACTGCTTCCACCACCACAATCTCGCCAAAACCAAGCACCATCAAGTCCGCGGGCGCATATAGCGCAAACAATTCTTACAGCGGTACTGCCTATGTGGTGGTGGCTTCTTTGGGTGCTGCGATTCTCGGGATGCTGTTTGGGGGTAAGGTCTGCCTTTTTGTTTTTTTGATTTTTTCGGAGGTTTAGAAGGGATTTTTCGCTTGCTAAAAATGAATTTGTACTATAGGCTTTGGTCTCTGGCTTGCTAGGAAGCATTTCTGTACTGGGATAACTAAATACATAGGAAAATACTATGTTTCGCAACCATACATTGATTTCTACTAGAATCAACGTGTATACCTATGTCTTGTAAGCATATGAAGTATACTTTCATGAATAATTTACTTAAATACTTACTCTAGATAATAAATAATGTTATTGTATAATTGATTTAGATTATTAGAATTAGAAAAAGTATTATTTATATGAAATGATAAGAATACTAATAACAGTTACTTATACTTGAACTTCATATAAGTTATTAATACTAGATTTCTTTATTGTTCTTATATAATACTACTAAGTTTCAAATTCATAGTAATCTACCTATATTTATTTATTTTCTAGTTAAACTAAGAAATAAAGATTCTTTATTCTTTTTAAATAATAGAATTTAAGAATAAATAAAAGATAAAGATTTTATTTAAATACTTATTATAAGTAGAACTATATAAGTAAGTTAGTTTACTTTACTTAAATGATAATATTTACTAGAATTAGTATAGTAGAGTAGTAGAATTCTTATAATCTCTAGTTAAAATATAAAATAAAATTTATTAACTTATTTAAGAAACTACTAAGGAAGAATACTTTACGAATTTTATTCTAGAAAGAAATAAGAAAAGAGAAAGAGAAAGAGAAAGTTTAAAAATTAAATTTACTAAAATAGCTTAAGAATTCTTAATAATTAAAGAAATTAACAGCGTTATTATTAGAAGTTAAATTATAATAATCTTATTACCTTTTCTAGTTTAAAATATTAATTTATCTCAATAACTATTAAACTACTAAGTAAATTAATACTAATCTAAGAAAAAACTATATAATTTAATTATTTCTACTAGCTTTCTTAAGAATAAATATTAGAAGTTCTTAAGTTTAATTGTAAAAAATACTCTAGAGATAATAATCTAGCTTAGATATTTTTACCTTTTATAATACGCTTCGACGTTTTATATAAGATTACTCTCTACTAGAGGTAATAGTATTATTACTATCTATTTTATATAGTAATACTATAACCTAGTAGGATAATAAGATAAATAAGTAGAACTAAAACTTATTACTTATAAATATTAATAACTTAATTAACTATTTAAAGAATTAATTTTATATAGATCTATTAATAACGAACTTTATACTTAATAAGGTTTAGTTACTAAAGTTAAAAGAGACTCTTACTTAATTTATAATAAGACTTTAAAGAGCTATAAAGTATTTAAGCTTTCCTAATAGTTATAGTTAAATAATTTAGATTTATAATTATATATTTTCTAATATATATTAAAAAGTTAAAAGACCTACTAGTAGAACCTATATAAATAAATAGTTATATAAGCTTTATTAGAATAAGCTTTTATTAGAGTAAACGGAAGTAAATGTAACGAATACTCAAACTGGCTAACTAAACTTGGCTGGGTGTTCGCTGGTTGGTATGCTATGATAAGAAGAAGACTATCGGGTTGTTCACTTGGAAGTGAACTCGTTACTTGTATCAAAGATGTCAAACTAATATGATAAGATTGATAACTAAGTTGAGCACGAAGCTCCTATCTAATGGCAGACGTGCCAGTCTTATATAGAACCTTCGTTCACAATATATCGCTACCATCGCTATCGATAAAATCGATCATCGCTTTTATCGATTTCGATCAAGTCGATATAGTCACGTGATTTCTGGTCGCTGAGAAATTCCTTGGATCGTCTGGCTAGCCTGATGCAGCCACCCGATCCTTACTATTTGGTTAAATACCAATGGGTTCTCCTGTCAGCGAAGTGCTGTCTGGGCCCATGGTCCCAAATGTCACCTGACGATTTCGTAATCGTGACATAAGCGTACTCGAGGAGTAACTCTCTTCTTATAGCCGATCTTTATAGCTAAAAGAGTTCTACTAGATAAGACTATAAAGTTTCGAGCTATTACTAATATTCGAGGTCTTAATTCTATCGTTTTACCTAACGCTTATCTTATACTAGTTATAGATAATATTATTAATAACCTTTATAGTATAAGTTAACTCGAATCTTAATAATTAATACTAAGTTATATCTTTCTTTTAGTAATAGTAGATCTATCTAAGAGTTACTAGATTATAACCTTTGTTATATATAAGGGCTAGTTTTAATCTAATTATATAATTATAGGATATAGGAATAACGTGGTTTATCAGCGAGTCGATCATATCACCGAGTCGATCACTTTTCCTTGGCACTACCTCCTCAAACTTCAACACACGTTTTCTTCAACTATTTACCATGGAAATTCAAACTCAAGAAGCGCGAATTACTCTAGCTATCGAGGCTATTCGGTCGTCCAAAAAACTAAGCAAACGCTCTGCGGCAAAGATCTACAATGTACCATATACGACTCTTTCCGACAGAATGGCTGGCCGAACCTACCGCCCAGATTCTCAAGCCAATTGTCATAAGTTGA